GTTGGCCATTTTTATATACATTTAGGCAAATGACCCCTAACTTTGCCCCGAAATGGGGAAATTGTTTTTTTTTTTTTTTTTGTTTAGTTGTTTTCCACATAAACACAGAAGGAGAGAGACTTTTTATTATTAAAAAAAAAAATCCTGAGTAAAAAAAATGCTACAGCCATTCTTCGATTTCTAATCATCATCATCATTATCCTAACTGAGAATGATGGATCAAAAACATTTTTAAAAAGAACGAAACGATTAAAAGTTTGAATTAGATACAATGTTTTTTTGTTTGTTTGTTGGAAAAATAAATCAATTAATCAATCAAAAATCCATTTGATTTTTGTTTTTGTTTGGAAAGGCTAATTGGCTATTCGTTTAAGGAAAAATTTTTTTGAATCATAAAATCTGTCCACAAAGATCTGTTTGAATTTCAACCGATTGAATTGAATTTAGAAACAAAAAATTCTAAATTCCAAATTCTAAAAAAATCTTAACACAATTATGATAAAGGGCGGTGTACTGTGTGTGTGTGTGTGTATTTTGGAATAAAGCCCTGTTTATACATTCAAGCCAACCACTATATATAAACCCAACCCATCAAGGATCCTATTCATATAATACATTTTCGAATATAAAAATGACAATTGTATTCCCGAATGATGATGTTTTAGGGTTGTTTTTTTTTTTTGGTTCGCATTTCTGGTGTCAAAATGCTCCAAGCTTTTTTGATTCGAATGTATACCACCATTGTGTTGATGATGATGATGATGATGATGGATATTGGACATAACCTAAACTCCAAAACAACAGCGAAAAAACTGCATTCGAGCGAATCCAAAAAAGCTTCAGTTTTTTTTTCATTTCTCCATTTCCATCATTTTCTTTCTATTCATTATCGAAACAACAGAAAAAAAACGAGTCGACTCGAATGTATTTAGGCTTATATTTTTTTTGCAGAGGATCATGATGATGATGATGATAATGATGGAGAGAGAGAGACTCTCGCTCTTTATTATTATTTTTTTTGCGTTGTTCTTGATGATGATGATGATGTTTGATGAAGGATTTCATCTCCCCTATATATATAAAATTTACAGGATTACTTCGTTTTTTTTGTTGTTGTTTTGTTTCAGTTAGGGGAGAGAGGATTGTGATATCTAAATTTAATCCAATATTTTTTTTCGGATGAATCTTCTTTTCTCATCTCCTGCTTTATATTTTCAAATCTTTAGAAATCTTTTAAAATGATTATTCCAATCTTATCGATGATTAGAAAATTTTACGATTGTTTGTTGTTGTTGATTTGTGTGTTATCGACAACAACAACAACTTGAAAGAAGGAAATTTTTTTTTGTGTGTGTTCGAAAAATCCCAACACAATTCGTTCCATTCATTTATAATGTTTTATAATGGTTAAAAGCGGTAAAAACTTTATGGACAGTGAAGGAAAAAAAAATAACGGCAGCATTCCTGTTCTATTGCTTGCCTGGATTGTTGTTGTGAGCAGAGTATTTTTTTTGTTGTTATCCATTCAATATTGGATGCTGTTCCAACAAAAAAAAAATCAACAACTATCATCTATGCTACTACTTTTTTCTTACATGTACATTTTATACGGATATCCAATTATCCTTGGATCCTATTCATTATATCTTATGCCACTACTAAAAAAATTTCAATTCCATCTCAAATAGATGCTGCTAGTTTTTTTTCTACAACATTCGAAAAAGAAATTATATCAAAAAAAAAGTAGTGGTAATTTAACAATTTGGATTCAAAATATCCAAATATCAAAGATATATAGCCACACATCCTAAGGCAGGTAGTAGTAGTAACGAAAATTGTTATCAGTGCAAACACACACACACACACACGATAAAAGTGTGTTAGAGAGAGAGAAAGAGAGCGAAAGAGAAAAAGAGAGTTTTGTGTATTTCACTGTGTGAGACTATAAGAAGCATACCAAAATATCCTGAAATGTTTCATTCGATATTTGTCCGTAGAACGTCATACACACGTTTTATACGATATCATTCTCATTCAATCATTTTATTGAATTAGAATTTTCAACAACAGCAAAAAATCTTATCATTACAAGTTGGCTTTATCTGTCTGTTCCTCTTTTTTTTTTACATTTGTGTGTTGCTTGTTTTTTTTTCCTACTATATAACTTTGCAAAACACTAACTCTTGAATAATAAAAAATATCCTCTCTCTCTCGCTCTCAGCATCTTCCTTCGCTTCCACCAATCATCATCAATATTTTCATTTTTGAAAAAAAATAGAGAAAAATTTCTCTTCATCAAGATACAATTTAAATCATCAAATGTGTGTGTGTATGTATGGTGTTGTTTGTGTAATATGCGTCTAACCTAAATTACAAGAAAGAAGAGAAAATTATCTAAAAGAAGAAAATCATTTTTTTTCAAAAAAATAAAAATCCGCGAAAAGAATTTCGAATGTTTTGTTGTGCACAAGCGCAAAACGATTTTTTTTTTGTTTGAAAAATTCGACAATTCTTCCTCAATCATCATCAAAATTCATGAAGATATTTCTTGTCAACGACAGATGTCTACATAAACAAAATACATTGATGATCCAGGATCACTGATGATGTAATTATTTTATCTCAAAAATTTAAAGCTTCCACATTAAAATTTTTTTTTTCATAACATAAAACAACGATTATAACAAGCGCGCGCGTTTTAAAATCTTTAATTTTTTTCTTCTTCCCTATTTCCATTCGAAAAATTTTATTCGATTTTTTTCAAAAAAAATATTGTTATTCTTCGATGAAATAATCCCGAAACACACACACACACTTTACATGAACACACAGTAAATAAATGTTTATTGTTTTCGTATTACAATCTTTTTTCAACAAAAACAAAAGAAATTTTAATTTTTTTTTTCATTGAAACAAAATAAAAAACCATAAATTTGTGGTTCAAATGTTAATCCTAATGGACATAGAAAACATAATACCAGCCGTACAACAGCAACCTCTTCCACCACCATCATTATCATCTGCATCATCATCATCATCATCGTCGTCGTCATCGTCATCATCATCCTCATCCTCATCAACATCATCTTTTCGATTGCCGAAGCCAAAACAACAAAAGATTGTTAATCAATCTTTGGCTAAATCCGCATCAACATCCAAATTATCGAAGATGACAATTTCAACAAATCAACATCAACAAATATATGGCGATAATATTGCCTCCTGTTTAATTAACAACAATGATAATGAATTTCTATATCAACATCATAATCAACAAATCCAGGATACGAATAATAAATCAACACTTCCAAAATCATTGACACCATCTGTAAGAAATCAAAATTTGGATCAACAACAACAACAACATATGCAAACAACAAACATAGTGAATAATAATAATAATGGTTCACCATTTAAATTTAATAATCGTTCAATTTGTTCACCATATAAATCAAAAAATCAATATCATCAAATGAAATGTTGTGGAAATCATCATTTTCATCATCAACAACAACAACAACAATCTTATCGTTTGCCATATCATCATCATAATAATAATAATCGTAATTTCAATAATAACAACAATAATAGTCATCTTAATATAAATAAGTTGCAACATAGAAGAATCAACAATTGTTCGCCAATATTATCATCATCATCATCATCATCGACAGCGATAGCAAAAACATTGGCAGCAACATCTTCATCATCTGTTATTAATTTAAATAATAAAAATATTCATCATTCACATCATCCAATAGTAACGGCGAATAATAATCTTAATAATGGTGAGCCATCATTCATTCATACGAAACAAACAAATTCATTACAACCATCATATAATAACAAATGTTGTGAATGTAATAATTCACTTATTATTGCTGCTACTGCTGCCATTTCCGTTCCTAAAAATTCTAAAGCTGTTAAACGTAATTATTCAATGTTGAATGCTAAAAATAGTTTAATAAGCCAAAATCATAAGCACAACAACAATAATAATCAGAATCAGAACCAGAATAATAGTAGCCAACAAAATGATAATTTAGTTATCAATACTGGTCTATTTGGTCGTAACAATAAAAACAAAAACAATCGTAATAATAATAAGAAGAAATGTCGTACTCGTTCAAAACGTCGACGTAAACGTTCAATAAAATGGACTAAATCCAAAAATAATATTGATGGTCAATGTAGCAATAATTGTAATGAACAAAATCTTATCGATGATGATTGTAATGATGATAATGATAATAGTAAAGATTGTTTGAAAAGAAAACGAATGCGTTGGACAGAATGTAATGCAGGTGAAGTGACCAGATTACATAGAAATTGTGTACAAAATGGTCAACCATTAGCACCATATAATACAACACAATTTATTATGAATGAACATTCAAAAGAAATTGATTTCGAAGCATTAAGTGGTCAGATACAACAAATGAGACAATCCAAACATGATCGTATCAATGATTTAGATGATCATCATTCTGGTAAACAACATGATCAACAACAACAAAAACATCAACAGCAACAACAACAACCATCATCATCATCTTCATTATTATCGCCATTAAATGAAGATTATTATAGTTCACCGGAAGATGAATCGTATTTTCTTGAACAACAATTTCATGAAGCATATGATACGATGCATGCTGAACGATTAAATTCAATGTCCAAAAGTGATCTATTAAAAGAATATCTATTAATGGAAAAAGAATTGGAAATATTGAAACAACAACCACAACAACAAAGTTCATCCAAATCATTATCAACAATAATGACAAATAAATCAACAAGTGGTTGTTGTGTTGGTGATGATAATAATATCATTTCAACCGGAACAAGTGAAAATTGTGATGGATCACAACAATTATCACAGCAACGACATTGTCAATCATGTTGTATAAAAGAAAAAATTTACGAAGAAAACAAATGTCTAAGAAAATTATTAAGACAATTATATAGTCGATATAATAGTCTTACATATTGTATAAATTATGTTCAAAATCATAGTCATCATCATCATCATCAACATAATAATGATCCACATTCAACAAATAATCATCATAATGATGATGTCAATCCAATCGATACGAATAATGAAAAACAATCAATGGAACAGCATCAGGATTATCAATTATCCAGTGAAATGCATTATTCAATTGAAAAATATCTAAATCATATTTCACCAATTCATCAAGGTGATAATGATGATGAGGATGATAATAATAATAATGATGATGTTGGCAATTCATCAATTCGAATTGTATCCGATATTGATATGGCTGATGATGATGATGATGATGATTGTCTAAGTCAATCTTCAAATGATGATATGACAAATTCAACTTCATCAACATTATCAACAAGCAATTCCTCAACATCATCATCAAGGAGTTCAGATTATTCTGATGGTTCCTCATCTTCTTCCTCTTCGTCATCATCATCATCATCATCAACGACAACAACAAAAACATCCGATTCTAAATCATCTTCCTATATTAACAATCATGATGATAATCATGATGAAATGATCTCTAAATCTTCAGAACATCGTTTGTCATCATTGATTGTCGAAATAGTGGACAATTTAATTTCCGTTGTTGTCAATGAAAATCAACAAAACCAACAGCAACAACAACCATTACCACTACTACAAAGGGAAAAACATCATGAACAAGGTAATGAATAAACTACAGAACATGAGAAATGAATGAATGAAAAACTAAAAGGAATTTTTCGAGAAAAAAAAATTGGATCGAATTTGGGAAAGTGATTTTTATATGAAATTATTATATTGATACCATCAATCATTGTTGTTTTTCATTTAAAAAAAAAAATTCATATCTTATTTTGCGCATTGTTGTTTTTGGATTCATTAAATTTTTTTTTTCATTTTAACAACATAAAAAAAGATAAAATATTTAACAATCATCTTGAATCGTCAACCAAAAAAGAAAAAAATCAGCTATAAAATGTAACAAAATATTTTGAATAGCCAAAATGCAAAAAAGACATCTGCACACAATATATACATTTACACTTTATACATAAATAAATACCGGAAAAGTAAAAAAAATAAATTTTTTTTTTAATTTGATAAAATTTACAGAATAATTTTTTTTTGTAATTTTTTTTGTTGTTTTGTTTCATCAATTCAATCTATCATTGGATGATTTTTGGCCATTTATAAATGCAAGAATCAGTGTGTGTGTATGTTTAGTGTGTAGGTGTGTAGGTGTTTAATCTTCTTTTTTTTTCACCCCTGTTTATAATCCGTTCTTGGATGGAAAAAGTGTTGATGAATCGAATGCCATTTTCATTATTATAATCATCATCATCAAAAGTGTGGGTGGAAAAAGGTTGTTGTTGTGGTTGTTGATAAGACAAATTGGTGATCAACGTGTGTGTGTGAATACCCGGAACATTAGTTTATTGATTTTTTTCGTTTTTTTCTTGTGAAATTTCTTTGTGAATTTTTTGTTTGTTTGTTTGTTTGTCTTGGGGTAAACACAACAAAAACCAATTTATTATTGATTCAAAATTGAAGTTCAAAAACAAAAATAATCAACTCACATCAACAACAACATTTTGTGATTAATAAATTCTGTGATAAAATCTGATGAGAATTTTGACACCCAATTAAAACTTTTGTAAAACTCTTTGTATTTTCACTTATCAATATGTGATGATTTTTGTAATTAATTTTTGTTTGCTTGATTTAATTAATTATAATTAAAATGTTTTTTTTTCTTTTTAAATTTTTTTTTGTTGAAATATTTTTTTCAAAATACATTACAAACACACACAGACGGAAAAAGATTCGAATTGATAAACAACAACAACAACAACAACACAGATCACGTCATCTATTGACATAAAATTCGTACTAAACAAAAAAAATAGTTTTCGAAAAGCGGCTAATAAAGCAAAAAAAGAAATGTTTTCGAAAAGAAGATTGTCTGTCTGTGTGTGATCGAACATTGCTCGATCTTTTTTCTTTCTCTCTCTCTCTCTCTCTTTTTTCATTTGATACCGCACCGAAATATATTGTCCAACTCAAATTTCCAATTCTTTTCGCACATTGACGTAACTTTATGCTTTTCATAACCGATTCGAAATTATATATTTTTTTTCCAGAAAAATAAATTGTTTCATTGTTTTTTTCGTTTTTTTTCAGATTCTCTACAAATTACAACATTATTATCGATAAAAACGATTATTTTCCTGATTAATTAAAAAAAAATCATAATTGAAGAAATACAATGAGTGCCAGCGTATCAACAGCTAGTTCAAGTCCAGATATGAATGATCATCATAATCAACAATCACAACATCGTGGACGACAATCATCATCATCATCATCGATTAATAATGATGGTGGTGGTGGTGGTGGTGATAATCAAAATCAATTTATTTATGAAGTTGGTGATAAAATCTATTGTACACATGATAATGATATTTATGAAGCACGTGTTATGAAAACAGCAATACGTGAAAATTTACCAAAATATTTTGTACATTATCATGGTTGGAATAAAAATTGGGATGAATGGGTTGTCAATGATCGTATATTGAAGATAAATGCGGAAAATCGTTTGAAATATGAAGAATCATTGCGGCAACAAAATTCTCGACGTAATCGTCGTAGTGGTGGTGGTAGTGGCGGAGGCGGCGGCAGTGGAGGTGGTGGTTCTACAGGTAGCAATAGTGGTACCGGTAGTGATAAACGATCATCATCATCATCAACAACAACAACAGCATCGAACAATAATGATCGATCATCATCATCAACATCAAAATCGTCGACTGCTAATCAATCATCGGGTAATCATTCTGATGGTGGTTCAAATGGTAATTGAATTTTTTCTTTTCTTCTTACAATATACCACCTCAACTAGTCTTTGATTGTTTTTTACCCATTTGATTTGACCAAAAACAAACAAAAACAATTTTTTGATTCCAGTCATGTCTTCCTAAATAATTCCTAAAAAATGTGTTCAGTTTCTCAATGTTCTCTTTTCTATTTGACTTGTAATTTATAAAATTTTTGTTTTGTCATTTTTTTACTCATTTCTAGTACAACGAAAATCAATGGCCAATACATCATCATCATCATCATTAGCTAATGATTCAATGATGGATGAAAAATCACAAACAACAACAACATCATCATCACAATCATCATCGGCTCGCCGTCGACGTAAACGAACAACAAGATTAACATATGTTACTGATGATGATCATAAATTGATTAATATTCGACCGAAATTTAATATTCCAAAAAAATTAATGGATACATTATTGGAAGATTATATACAGATAAAATTACGAAAGAAAATTTTACGATTAAATGATTTGAAAAAAACAGCACAAGATTTACTTGATGATTATCTGGCTGATCGTCAACTGAAAGAATCATCATCATCAACATCATCGATAGAATCACCGTTGGCAAATAAATTCTCAAAATTAGATCCACCATTACATTTTCAAATGGATCCATTTTCATCAAATTTACGTTTCGATAATATCGGTATAAATACATTGAAAAGTTGTTGTAATGAATATTGTAAAAATATTCGTATCTATTTTAATACAGTATTATCAACACAATTATTATTCAATTTAGAACGATTACAATATTTTGAAATTTTTGGTAATCATCATCATTCGAATAATAATAATAATAATAATAATACCGATATTGATATTAGTAATCAGGAAAATAATCAACCATCCGAAGTGGATAATAATTATTTACCGAAAATAAGATCACGGAAAAATTCTGATACAAAAACAAATTCAACAACAAAACAATCATCAAAAAAAATTTCATCATCATCATCAAATGTTTCGACAGCTAAAGATCAATCAATTAAAGAACCAATAGAAATCTATACACCAATACATTTGTTACGTTTATTTACAAGATATCCATCATATTTACAATATTATCATTGTGATCAAAATCTATTTCGTTTATTGAATATATTTAATGATGATTTTTTTGAATATTGTACAAATAATTTTGATGAATATTTTGATGAAAATAATCTTCGATATTATGAACCAACAATAGATTATTTAGAACGTTCAACAATAACTGGTAATAATAACAAACAAGAACAATCATCAAATAATAATGATGGTAGTGGTAAATTGATAAAAATGTCATCAATGATTGATGGTGATGATAATAGTTCTACGAATGAAAATATTATGGATCAAGATTGAATATTGGAACAAACAAACAATTTACGGTGAAAACATTTTGATTTGATGGAGAGAAAAAAGACATTATTTTTCTATTTATATAAAGTTTTAAACTTTTTAAAATTATTTTTGACGTCGTTTTTTGAAGCTTTATCGAACAACAACAAGAAGGAACAAAACCTGTATTTTTATTTATTTATTTTTTTGAAATGACCTCGAAAATTATTTTTGTGAAAAATGTTTACTGTTTTTTTTTGTGATGAAGAAATCATTTCTTTGAAAAAAAAGAATCAACATGATTTGATAGAATCGGATTTGATTTATTGTGTTGATATATTGCACACAACATTTTTTTTTCTTGGTGTTCATTTTTCAATAAACTTTGATCTGATAATTGAATAATAAATGTTTGTTTTTGTGTTGACAAAATCAATTTCATCATAGATTTGTTGTTGTTTCACAATGTTTTTTTTGATTGTTCCATTTGGAGAGAATTTTTTTCAATTAAATTGTTCCGTTGTTGGCAAAAAAAAATAGAAAATTGATCAGGTTCACTAACCCGTTGAATGTTGAATGTTGATGATAACCTTGTAATTTGTTGTTGTTGAACAAAATACAATTTAACAATGAAAATTTTCAAATTAAGGATTTTTGTTTTTTACCAAATTTGAAATTTTTTGTTTTTTGCTATTTTCGAATGTTTGTGACATGTCGTTTGTGAATGTCCACAATCTACACACACACCCACATGCTTTCCGACAATGTCCATCGCATCAAATCTGATGATTTTTGTTGTTGTAATTACTTCATTATCATTGAGATGTGAAAAAGGAATGGAAAATTACCATCATCATCATCATCGTTATAAGATGATGATGATCAACATCATATAATTATCATTTGTCATTCTTTTTTTACATTCATTCATTCATTCATTCATTCATTTCAGAAATGTCAATTAAAAACAAATTAATGTTAAATCATCATGATAATGATGATGATGATGGCCTTAATTGTGAAACATTTTTTTGTCGTTGTTTCCATGAACTGATATTTGATTTGATTTGTTAATGATGGAAAATGTGAATGAAAAAAACATCTTGTCATATCGGTCTATCGTTTTTTTTTCTTCAATTTTTAAAATATTTTATACATGGTCTCTTTGCTTGATATATTTGATTGTGAATGATGAATTTTTAATTATCAAATGATTGATTAATTACTGTGATCAAATCTAATTTCGAACAACAACAACAACGACAACAAAATGTGATTTGATTTGATCAATGATCAAAAAAAAAAATCACAACCGAATCGAAACTCAAAAAAAAGATATTTATCTCCATATCTGAAATGATTACCATTGATAATTTCTAATTTTTTCTGTTGTTGCTTTCATTAATCAAGCTCTATCTACGAAGCTCAATGTTAATGTTCGTTATGAGTGAATAGAGGAAAGAAAAGGGATTTTTTTTTCTATTGAGCCAAAACAGCAACAACAACAAAAAAAATGAATTTACTGATTCGATCATTTTACATTATCATTGGTTCCATATGGATTGTTTTGGCACAACAACAACAACAACAACAAGGACAGAATGCCTGGACACAACAAGGATCACAAAATTTGATACGTAGCTTTTCGAATACAAATCAACAACAAACAAATTTCAATCAAAATAGACAAAATCATGGTGGTGGTAATAATCTTCGACAACAACAACAACAAAAAAATCATGGTACATCATCATCAACAAACCGGAATACAAATCAAGCTGAACAATGTAATCTAAATTATCAATTTGATTATTTTGTATTGGCAATACAATGGCCAAAATCATTTTGTTTAGAAAAACAACAATGTAATCATACAATTGCTAGACAACATCGATGGTTAATACATGGTTTATGGCCAAATCAATATCCACAACAAGCGATTGGTAGAAATCGTCGTGCTGTAAAATTGATTGATAATCGACAACAACAACAACAGCAACAACGATCTGGTCATGATGAATTGAATAATTTGGCAAATACAGAATATTGTTGTGGTCCAAAATATGATCAATCAATAATGCATCAAGGAAATCTTTATAATGAATTATTGGAAAAATGGCCAACATTACATCCGGGTAGCTATCATCATGGATTTTGGAAACATGAATGGGAAAAACATGGTACTTGTGCACGTAATGTACGACCATTAAAAAATCAACGAAAATATTTTGAAACAATTCTTGGACTTTATAATCGATTCAATTTATCATCAACCGAATTTCAAAATGGTCAATATTATAATCTAGATGATGTACATCGTAATCTACGAAAATATATTGGCAATCATAAAATTCGTATTGAATGTTCATTAATTGATGATAATTTATCAATACGTCAAAAACGACAACAACAAAATCGTAATCAAGATCGTAATCAAAATCATCGACAAATATCCGTATTCAGTGAAGTTCATATTTGTTTGAATAAAACATTACATCCAATTGATTGTATACGACGTGATGATTATCAATGTAAAAAAAATCGAAATCAAATTCTTTTTCCTTAGAATTTTTTCTAGAATTAAAATTAAAAAAAACATTTTTTGAAATTGAAAAGAAGAAAAATTTTCCCGGAAATTCTTTTTCCATTCAAGATGAGAGAATATTTTTGAAAAAAAAAAAAGATATATGAAAAAAAAGCTTCCATTGCGAGGGGGCGGTGTCCTGGTGTATACGTTATATATGTCGGTTTGCGTGTGTGTGTGATAAATCGGGGGTTGAATCCAAATGTTGTTGTTTTTGTTGTTGGTTCCAATCATCATTATCATGATTTTTTTTTAAATAAAAATAATTTTAATTATAAAATTTTAATATTACAGTTATGGAATGTAACAATTTCACTGATTGATTTTCATTTTTTTTCGCGTTCATCTCATCTTTGATCATTGAAGAAAGAAAAAAAATTTCATCATTATTATCATCATCATTCGAATTTGCTTGGAAAGTTGTATTCTATATTTCTGTTTTGTTTACGTTTTGTTTACGTTTTTTTTTGTTTTGTTTTGATTCGATTATCCAAATTCTTTGCTTCGGAAATTAAGTTTTTAAAAAAATAGTAAGATCCAATTGCCAAAATAAATAAAATCTTTAAATTCAATCAAATCGAATTGAATCCGTGTTTTGAATTTCGAATTTCGTTTTTGCAAAACTTTATAAAGAAAATCAATATCTTATGTTTGATAATTCTTTTTTTTCATACGATATAGAATATTTAAATGGAAACAATGATGACCACAACTACCACCACACAATATCATCATTCTCATCATCATCAACCACAACAACAACAGCAACATCTTAATAATAATCATCGAAATATTGTTTATCAATCATCACAGCAACATGAACAACAACAACAACAACAACAACAAGCATCCTCATCGCAATCATCATCTACATCACCGTCAACGGCTTTAAGCCAATCATTATCATCAGCCATTAGTGGCCAAATAATACATTTATCATCATCACCAACCAATAATATAATGAAACCAAAAGTTCAACAACAACAGATATCAATGGATAACAACAACAACAATAATAATAATAATAGTTTACAGATGGAATTACAGATTTTACAACGTGAAAATCAAAAATTAGCCACTATAACTAGATTATGTATACATCTAGTCGATCGTTGTCGTACATTGAATAAAACAAAACAATTTATTGAAGATTTATCTCGTCTTGGTATTTTGATTGATGAATTTAATCAATTGAATACAAAAAAGAATAGCCAGCTACCAATATTCGGTAATTCGGGTTTGGTATTTGAAAATCAAAATGACAATACGACAACGATGACGAATGTTCGTGGAAAATCTACAAATTCTTCTACCTCTTTGAATTCTAATATCAATAATAATAATAATAATAATTCGAATCAATCAACAACCACAGCGATGATGATTACAACAAATAATACAAATAATCAATCATTAGGTAATGGTGGTGGTGGCATTGGTGCAAATATGTATCTAATACCCATATCAATGGGTCCAAATCATCAAGGACCACAACAATATCATCTAATACAGACAACAAATGATACAACAGCAGCATTGATTAGTCCATCTGGAATATCGAAATCAACAAAAGGACGTGGTAAAAAATCATCATCATCATCATCATCATCATCGACAACAACAGCATTAATGATGATGGATCCGAATACTTTAACAATATCACCACCACAACAACAAAAACAAAATAATCAACAACAACAACAATCAATTTTATTTAAAAAATTGACTGAATCTGGTCAGATTCAATTAATCGATCCAACAACAATGTTGATACAACAACAACAAACGAATAACCAACAGCAACAACAACCACAACAACAGATTAACATTCCAGCAAATATGACAACAACAGTATCGGGTGATCAAACATCAACAATATTTTCAATTATACAACAACAACAGAATCCAAATTTGGATCAATCAAATATTGTTGAGAATAATAATATTAAACGTAAGTAATTGAAAAAAATTAAATCATTTTCATTCTCTCAATATATTAATTAAACAGTTATATCACATACGATTGGAAATTCTCATCAAACATCAATGACTACGATTACTGGTCAACAACAACAGCAACAACAACAACTACAACATCAATCATCATCATCATCATCTTCATCATCACCATTGACAACAACAACATCGACTACAATGACTGGTGGAACGACGACGCCGGGTAATCAGAAAATATTTAAATGTGTAATTTGTGACAAAATATTTGCCAATGCATATAATCTTAATCGTCATAATAAATCACATAGTGGTTTTCAACCATTTGTTTGTGATTATCCATCATGTTCAAAACGTTTTAATTATAATTATCATCTAAAACGACATATGGAAACACATACTGGTGCACGACCATTTGTTTGTACATGGCCGGATTGTGATCAACGTTTTAATCGTAAATATAATCTAAATCGCCATTTATGGATACATGCAGAGAATAAGAATAAAAATCAACAACAACAATAATAATAATAATGAAAAACATTCAAAAATAAATTGAGATCAAATTCTCGAAAGAAATAACAATTCCATTATCACTCATTATCATTCATTCATTTGTAAATAATGAAAAAGAATAACCACTTTATAAAGTATATAAACACAAAAATATTTGGGTATATTTTTTCACTCACACAAACACTCATCATTGAAATTCTGTTATTCAAAAAAAAAGAAAGAATAACATTTTATCTCTGTATATTGTTTTTAATAAGAAATAAAGAAATAATAATATCAATTCAGAATTGAAATACGTGTCTATTTTGTTGTTGTTGAATGATTAAACAGATTCTTTAAGCGATAAACAATGTACATATGAATCACGACAGCCAATTAAAAATGTTTTTCGATTAACATTATAAACAGGTGATGAAAATATTTCAGCATTAAAATGATCGAAACCATTGATTGGAATTGATTGTCCATCATTGGGATTTAATAGATGAATTTTACCATTTGTTTCGATTGCTAATAATCGTTCGAATTCGGTTAGATAAATAATATCGGCATAAACATTCGATTCAGTTTTGAATATCCATTCTGGTTGTTTGGAATTGAATTTTGTACACATAATCGAACAACCATTTGTTCCAATAATAATTCGACAATCATCATCATTATCATTTTGTTTGACTAGACAAGGTGATGAAAATATTGGCATTTTTTCCAATAACAATTCCCATATTATCAAACCATTCTGTAATGATATGGAAATCAATCTTGAATCAGTCATTCCGACTATAAGATTATCTTTGAAAATTTTTGGTGTTGAAAATATTGGTCGATTCGAATGATTATATTTCCAACGTTGTTGACCATCGATCAGATGATAACAACCTATCGTACCATTCAGCGTACAAACAACAGCAAACCATTTATTACCAAGTTGATCATACCAAACAATAGGACTGGCAAAAATTGGCGATTGATTTACATCGATTTTCCAACGAATATAACCATTTGATTGTTGCCAACAATATAGATTATGATCATAAGAACCACATAGAATTAATTCACCAATTGAAGAATCGGCAAATATTATTGGTGAACATTTGATTTGATCATTAGTTTTTGATTGCCATACTATACGACCAGATTTCAAATCAAAAGCTTGAATTAAACCCGAATAATCGGCAACATAGACAAGTTCACAATCCGAACTAGCGATAGGATTTGCTTCAATACGATTAGCAATTCTTTGTGACCATCGTATGGAATAATAATTTTTTTGTTCAATATTTTCAACAAAAGTATTGATTAATCCGGAATGTGATGTACAAATTATCATTGTTGTCTATTTAAATATTGTTGTATGAAGAAAAATAAAAACAAAATCATCATTTGTAAATAATAACAACATACCATCGAATCATCCAAGTGAATCAACAATGGTGAAGAATCGACACATTGTTCCATAAAATATGACCATAAATGTTCGATTCGAAATGACGAATTCGATATCGAAACGATAGTATCGAAAGATTTTATCCGATCGACATATCTTTTAGATGTTCGTTGTTTTTTATTATTAGATTTTCGTATTTCAATCATATGAATAATGACATCGACAAGTTGATCAATCGTATGAGTGAATAATAATGGATAAATATCTTCATTATATAATGAAAATAAATCTTCAATTGAAGTGGTAATTTCGACTGCCATCATTGAATCGATTCCATAGCTATTAAGCGGTTTATCGGTTGCAATTTCTGTTGAATGTAATATTTTCGAAATAATTGATTTGATTTCATTACAAATCAAATCATTGGACAGGGTAGGTATTTGATTTGGATCAATATTTTGATATAATTTACTAATATCTAATTTAGAATTTGTATTCAAACAAACAATTCTTGATGAATCAATCAAATGTATTCGAAATGCTATTTTTGGATAAAATTTTCGAATAAAAGTAGCAATTTTTTGTTTAATATTATCATTATCATATTGATCAGGTTTAGTACTACAAATAGTTGTTATAATTTCTAAAAACCGAAGATTATTTTGCCATTCATCTTCTTTAATCAAAATATTTTGAATAAAAAAATCATTATGATCATCATCAGGTTTACCAAATTCTTGTATCAATGATTGTTCAATTGCACGTAAATGACATTTTATTCCATTCAATTTGATAAAATTTTCAAAACTTTTTCTTCGATCAAAATAAAGATTATTATCGATTTGGATACCAAAATCATTGGTCATCAATCGAGAATACCAGCTCCATTCAATATTATTCGATTCGAATATTAAACATTTTCGTACATTACTTTCCAATATTATTTCATTATATTGATCTAATGATACATTAGTATCGATCAGTGAACGACCCATAATAGGAATTTCTTGATCAACGGAACTGATACCATCGATTTTAAACATTGAAGCCCATACACTCATTTCACTTAGGCCATAAAGATTACGAAATTCGATTGGATATTGTTGAAAAATTTTCAATTGATTTTGATTTGGACATATTTCACCGCCAAAATTTACGAAACGTAAATGAATTGATGATGATGATGATTTTTGAAAAATTTTCAATAAATAATAATTGATTCGATACCAAAGTGATGGAGTTATTGTCATATAGGTGATTTCGAATTCGGAAATAATTTTTGCAAAATTTTCGCCAACATTTCTAACACTATTATCGGTTATAATTAAATGAGAAAATGATGATAATGCCAAAAACATATCACAGATTGATGGATCAAATGAAAATGATGAACATATTAGAACAATATCATCAGCTATTAGATTGAATTCATTACAAAAATCGATAACATTTCGTTGAATAGATGAATGTGTAACAAAAATTGTTTTGTTCGAAACAACAACATTCGAATTATTCGTATTATTCGATATACGATTTATCGAGGTTGTAGTACCGGACGTATTGATTAGATAGGAAATGTTTATTGATTGAAATTCTTTATCAATATCGTCATCATGATGATTATCAATTGGTGATGACTTTTTTAGAAAAATAAAAAAATCATCAATAATATTATCGATGATAAACTCATCATCAGTGGAAGAATTTAAAATTTGTTCAAGTTCTTGACTTCGATAACGATGAGTGATTAGAATACCTGTTAACAATGATAATGATTTAAATTGTTCAATATTTTTTACTAATATTTCTTGATCCGATACATAATAAAATGATAATTTCATTATATTTGCAATCAACATAAAAATAGGTGTCCATAATCCACAATCACCATAAATAACTAATGTTTGGGGAATTTTAATTGAAATTTTTTCACAATTATCAATGGAAACATTTTCCAATATTTTTATGGGTTTAATATCATTTAATTCTAATGATTCGATTAAACGTTTACGAATTTGGCGACAATAATCCAAAAGTTTTTGATAGGAAATTGTTTGTACATTAGCATCGAAATCGATGTAAGAAATAGCCGATTTAGATAAAAGAAAAGAATTTTCAACAACATCATTATGATCATCATCATTTTGATCTAAAAGCTGAATGAATTTTTTATTTAATAAAATATTTAAAATATTATCATCACGATCCATTCTTTTTCAAATTTGATTCAAAATGTTCAGAATTTCAAATTTTTTGTGTTTGTTTTTATAAAGAATTTGCATCATTATCATCATTGTTCATAAACAATGTAACAGAATTTTGTTTGTCTAATTTTATTTGATTTATTCAGAAAAAAAATATATAACGATAATGATGATGGTGGTAAATAAGTTTGCATGATGATAATCTGTGTGTGGGTGTATGAAAATATATATATTTTTTTTCCCTGTTTTTCGTTTTATGTTTTGCATTCATCCGATTGAGCATTTTGTTTCTCTATATCTTTTAGCGTATCGTTAAATACACACACCCAGAAAATATCCATAAATAGAAATCAATGTTTTTTTTTTGGAAAAGTGGTGAAAAAAATGGTGGTTGATTTTCATTGACAAAAAACAAAACTAAATATTTGTTTATCATACAGTTTCGCCCACGATTTGCCACAAATTTCATTTAATTTTTTCTGTAAACATACAACAAAACAAACGAACGAAAATTTCTATTTGATGATCAGCCAGAAAGAAGAAGAATTAAGAAGAAGAAAAAAAAGAAGGAAAAGAAAAGAAATTGTTATTCTCTTACAAATTAGTTAGTTTTGTTATTGAAATTTTAGAAAATTCACACAAACACGAATGAATTAAGAACAACAAGTTGGGCTGTTGTAATACTTTATTTGGCTATTTGAAAAAAAAATTTTTTGACACCATTAATTTGGAAATTGTAAAGTTTGTTTCAAAGTTCTTCTATTTTGTGTTCGTTTGAACAAAGATATTCATTTTTTTCGTTGTTGTTGTTGTTGGAAAATTTGGACCGTAAAGTTTTTTTTCTTTGACCAAAAAAACAAACGATAAAAATGGACGATATATTTCATTGGTGTAAAGATGGTAATGCGTTATTGGTTCGTGTATGGTTGGATGATATTGCCAATGATATGAATCAAGGGTTCGTAACATTCATTAGTATTTTCATGTAATAAAATATTCATTTGGTTTTATGTTTGGTTAAAAAAAAAAATAGCGATGATCATGGATTTTCACCATTACATTGGGCAGCATTTTCCGGTCATCTTTCACTTGTTGAAATGTTAATCGCTAAAGGTGCTCGTCTAAATGCAACCAATATGGGTGATGATACGGCATTACATTTGGCTGCAGCACATGGTCATCGTGATGTTGTTAATTTATTAATTAAAAATCGTGCAGATTTTAATCTATTAAATGAACATGGTAATACACCACTTCATTATGCATGTTTCTGGGGTTATAAAGATGTTGCTGAAGATTTAATCAATTCGGGTGCAATATGTAATATTACAAATAAATATGGTGAAATTCCATTTGATAAATGTAAAGCAATTCTTCGTGAAGATCTTGAACAATTAGCAATGCGTAATGGTCAAGATTTATCAAGAAAATTTCCCTATAAAGATCAAGCCTGGTTTGGTACAACTAAACGTTCACGTGATGCAACATTATCCAGATTTGCTGGATTAAAATTAGAGGAATTATTATTACAACAAAAAATGTCCACAACACCATCGGGTGAAACATGGCGTGGTATATGGCAACGAAATAAAACAGATATTTGTGCCAAATTTTTAGCCGTTTCGGGTGAAATGTCACCAAGAATACCGCGTGATTTTGCCGAAGAATATCCACGTTTAAGGATTTTCTCACATCCAAATGTTCTACCGGTAATCGGTTGTGTTAATTCACCACCAAATTTGGTAGTTGTCAATCAATGTATGCCATATGGATCATTATATAAAGTTTTACATGAAGGTTCACCAATTGTTGTTGATTCACAACGTGCATTACAATTTGCAATCGATATTGCACGTGGTATGTCATTTTTACATACATTAAATCCATTGATACCTCGTTTCTATCTTTCATCTAAACATGTTATGGTATGTTTGTTTGTTTGATATTCTCATAATAAATTTTTATTTTAATCCATTTATCAAATCAATTAGATCGATGAAGATCTAACTGCACGTATCAATATGGCGGATGCAAAATTTTCATTTCAAGAAAAAAATAAATTCTATAATCCAGGTTGGATGTCACCCGAAGCATTACAAAAAAAACATAGTGAAATTAATATTGCTAAATCAGATATGTGGTCATTTGCAATATTATTATGGGAATTAACAACAAGACAGGTACCATTTGCTGAATTTCCACCAATGGAAATCGGTATGAAAATTGCCTTGGAAGCATTACGTGTATCAATACCACCGGGTATATCACCACAAATGGCAAGATTAATAAAAATTTGTATGAATGAAGATCCAGGAAAACGGCCATCATTCGATCAGATAATACCAATTCTGGAAAAGATGCGACTTTCATGATCGTTTTTTTTTTGTTTCCAATTAAAATCTGACTGCCAGTCTTCACTCCCCTCATTTACACACATACACCCCGGTAAATCAAAGATTTGGAAAACAATCTCGATATAGACAAACAACGATGTGTTCACAAAATTATTTTTTTTTTTTGGAGAAAGAGTATTATCTACTTTAACTATTAAACTACTCAAAGATGTCATACTTAATTAATTGATCACCTGTCACCTTTTTATTTTCATTTTAATTGTTTGTTAAAAAAAGTTTTTTTTTAAAATAAAGATGATTAAATTTATATGATGATTATTATTATTTTGTACAAAAAATTTATATGAAATGGTTAATGGATTAGAATTGTTCATCAATCAGATCACACATGAATGCATCTAATTCGGTCATTTTCGATATTGCTGATTGTCGTAATGGTATACCAATATCGCCTCCATCACCATCACCATCATCATCATCATTATTAATATCAGCATCAACATCATTATTACCGTCATTGGATTTTTTATGAACATAATGACCATTCAATACAGGTGAATGATTATCATCCAAAATATTTGTATTTGATTGAAAATTTTCGGGTAATGTTTCTTGTAATAAATCATTAATATCCTTATCTTTGATATTTTTAATAGCTGTACGAATAATATCCTGTATACGTTCAATTTGTTTCGATAATTTGGCGGTAGTTTCTTCTCGTTGTTTTTTTTGCATTCGCAAACATACACGTATTGATTCACGTGCTTGATGTGGCCTTAATTCATTTATTAAATGGTGCATCTGTGTGGAATATACATAGAATCAAATGATGATCTGTCGGAAAAAACAATCTTACCGTTATAAATAATAATTGAAGATCGTTACATTTTTCTTCACGTTTCTGTGTATCTGGACAGCGAATAAGTACATCGATTAAATCTAAAAAATTAACTAAAATTGATGCATTTATTTTTTTCAATTCTCGTTTATGATCATATTCTCTTGGATATAAACGACGAAGACCTTGTGATTCTAATGATCGTATAATTGTATCATCAATAGTAATATTCTGGCCAAACATTAGATATGATCCGGGTATAAATGGTTTTGGTGGCAACGGTGTACAACGATTACGAACATTAATATCGGTAAATTGTTTTATATAACGCATTGGTGGTAATGGATAAAATGATGATATTGATGATTGTTGTTGATCATTATTGTTCACTGATGTTGTTGCCTGATCAAATGTTGGTTTTATATCCAGATTTTCATCCATATTTATTCGGGATGCTAAATTATAATTTTAGAATATAAAATCTAGATTTGTAACAAAAGAAATTGAACTAATAAAAAAAATAGACACACGCAGAAACACAAAAAAAAAGCCATTCGAAAGAATGACTTTTGTTGCCGAATAATCGATGCTATCGAATTGATTCGTTCGTCACTTCGAATTCAAATTCTTTTTGGCAAAAAAAATCAAATATTTTTATTCATCAAATTCATAAATGATTAAATTGAAAATCTATTTAGATTAACGAAACAAACTAATAATATAATTAATCAAATAGTAGTGTTTGAGAAAAAAATAAACAAACGAAAAGTGAAAATGAGAATCAAATGGGATGAAAAAAAACGAGATTTTAGAAATAATTTTCAGTCAAATGTTGTTGTTGCAATTGATTTGCAGCAGAATTTTGTGTTTGATTTGGATTATTTGTCTGTTGTTGTTGTTGTTGCGTATTTGGATTATTAGCTGCTGATTGTTGTGGTGATGATAATTGATGCTGTTGTTGATTAGTGGTCGCCTCTATAATCATTGTTTGTTGTGCCGATTGTGTTTGTTGTTGTTGTTGTACAACGATTGAATCATTTTCACCATTTCCATTGCCCGAATTTGTACGAGAATTTCCATTGTTATTAGAATTATTACCACCACCCGAAGAAACATGTTGTTGTTGTTGTTGCTGTTGAACAGCTAAATTTGCCGCTGTTGTCAATTCTTGTAAATAATTATGTTGCTGTAAACGTTGTTTTAATTGATTCAATTGATTATGTAATATCTGTGGATCAGTAATCGATTGATTCATTCGATGTATTTGATGTTGTTGTTGTTGCGGCTGTTGTTGAACAAGAACTAAATTCTGTTGTTGAACATTATTTCCAGATTGAGATTGCTGTTGATGATCATGATTTTGACTAAGATTTACACCAATATTTTGTTGACCATTCTGTTTATTCGTTGATGATGATCTACCATTATTTGATGATGTTGATGATGATATTGATGATGATGATGTTGTACTTGATGGTTGTTGCTGTTGTTGTGAATTATTATTGCCACTATTATTATTATTACCATTATAATTATTATTATTATTATGTGTTTTTTGATGATTACGTAAATCTTCTGAACGTGAATAACGTTTTGTACATCCAGGATAAATACATGGATATGGTTTTTCACCAGTATGTGTATTCATATGACGTCTTAAATGATAATTATCATTAAAACGTTTATCACAATTAGGCCATTGACACATATAAGGCCTTTCACCGGAATGTGAATAATTATGACGATTCAATTTATAACTTGTTGGAAATGTTTTCAAACATGTTTCACATTTATATGGCCTTTCCATTCCTAATAAATATCGACAATATTAATGAGAATGAAATTTTTAAAATTTTTAAAACTTACGTTGTTTTAAATCATTCGAAGATTTATTCGATTGATTATGATGTTGTTGTTGTTGTTGATGATGAGAAAGATGATGAATTTGTTGTTGCGGTTGCTGCTGATGACCGCCATGCTGTTGTTGTTGTTGTTGAATATGATCGATATTAAATTGTCCAATTGATGGAAAAATTTTCGATGATTGATGTGATAGATTAGCTAATGATGATGATGATGATTGTTGATGTTGTTGTTGTTGTTGTGGATGTCCTGATCTTGCTGTCAAATATTGTTTGGTTACAGATGATGATGATGATGATTCATTTGTTTGATGCATTTTCATCGGTGTTTTATTCATTTGATGAATTTTTCCCGATGATGATGATGATGATTGAATCGATTGTTGTTTTAAATATTGTTGATTATTCTGTAATTCTAAATTAAGTAGTCGTTTTTTTGATTCGACAATCTTTTGATTCATTGTTTCAATCTGTCTATTAAGATGTGTATTTAAATGTTGTTGATTTTGTTGATGTTCTTCTTCCATTCGTGCATTCAATATTGATGATTGTAACATATTATAAATATAATCATTATCTAAATTAGCTAGATTAATATATGGTTCGAGATCGTTAAAACAAATCCATGAAAATTCTAATAATAATTGATAATCATTAAATGAATTTCGAAGTTTATAAAGAATATTAAATATTAATAATGATATAAGAAATATATTATTCTCTTTGATATCGATCAATGAAAATGTCGTTCCCTCTAAAGATAATTGACAAATAAAAAAAACAAAAACAAAATAAGAAAATTAATCGATCAATCAATCAATCAATATTACCATTGGTTGTTGTCGATGGAAATAATTCATAAATAAAACTTTTATCCAAATAAAATTGTAACATCCAATCACGTATTAATAATATTAACATTTGAACATGTTGTGATGATTGTTGTTGTATGGCGGTTGTTTCTAAATTATTACTATTATTCTCCAATTTATTACGTAATAAATTATTATTTTCAATAAATTCAATCAATATATTTATCTGTTGTAAATATAATAAATTTTGATGATTATTTATTTTAGATTGTGGCTGTTGTTGTTGTTGGATGCCCAAAATATTGTCACTATCATTATTATCACTATTATTACCAACACTACCACCACCAACACCATTAATAAGTAATAAATTTGGACGAAAATACTGTTCAAATTTTGATATAATAAAACCTAAACGTGTTAACGATGATAAATCAATCAATGTTTGTGGTTCTTTAAATAATAAATATTCGGATTGTTGTTGATTGGAAGATGTGAAAAAATTATTATTATTATTGGATTGTTGACCATCGCATTGTTGTTGTTGTTGATGATGTTTAGTTTTGAATGTTGTAAATGAATTAATCAATTTAAGTATAGCTTGTTTATGAATATTTTGTATGGCCATTTCTTGAATTTCAGATGATTTTTTTGCTTTGTTTTTTGATTGATTAATTCAAGCGAATTAAGAAAGACGAAAAGTAAAAAAAATCAAATCAAATATCACTGATAATTTTTAGCCATAATGTTTTTTCGGTTTCGAATCCAGTCTTTTTATGGATTCCATTTGAAATCTGTTTTTTTGTTTGTTTTCAACCATCATCATTCACATTTTTACCAAAAACAAATCAGTAAATAAAAAATCCATAAAAAAATATCTTAACTTATCACAATATGAGTTTAAATCCATTTGATGGATATAATAAACAATCAACGAAAAAAAAAGAAAATTATCAAGGAGAAATTGTTCCAGAAACCAAAAAAAAAAAAACAAAAAAAAACACACTTGCTATATCGAAAGAAGAAAAAAAAATTCTTTAGCGGTGATAAAGAGGGTGAGAATCAATCAAACCAGCACCAAACAACAACAACAACAGAGAGAAAGAAAGAAAAAAAAAAGAGGATCGAACCGATGATGATCCATTCATGATCAACGTGATTTAATTTTTTTTTGTTTCATTATCATATTTGGTGATAATTTGCGGTTCGAATTTGATGATAAAAAAAAATGTTTATATAAATTGTTTGTAAGATTTTCATTTTGTCTCTTTTTTCATACGGATTCATTACACGTCAGCATTGTTCTCATTTCGATTCGAAGAAAAAAAACAAAAATGAATCATTCGAATATTGTGGTAAAAAATGATCATTATGATAAAACATTAGACATTTTATTGATATTGGCCATTCTATATTTTATATATCTAATGTTCACACGTTTTCTACAACAAACATATCGACGAATACATCGATTCGGTCATCGTTGGTTACTATGGCCAAGATTATCGATACCAACAATTATTGTTCTAACATTATTCATTGTATTGTTTGTTTATTATGATCAACATCTTTATTCTCTTGATTATAATGAACAAAAATGTGAATCATTATGGCATGATAAATATCGTAAATTTTTAGACTTTGTTTTTGATCTTACATTAGGTAATTCACCAATTTCCAACGAATATAAGCCATGTCAAATTGAATATCTATATGATGGTACAATTAGCTTATTGGTAATCATTGCAATAAGTATCTATTCATTAAGATTTTTTCTTGATCATCATTACTATGGTTTTCTTATGTTTACTGTTGCATTTTTGTTATTGTTTTTGGATCGAATGGATAAAACAAATCAACGAAATCAACGTATAAAACTACATATAATAATCTTTATATTAGAAATAATGATTATTGTTTATCATATCATTAGAAAATTATTCAAAACATTCTCCTTTTTTATCAATATGATTGTACAGTTTTTATTAGTTTCATCAATGATCTTTATTGTTTTGGCTATTATTAGCCATCTATATAAAAACATTAGAGAAATGAGTGAAGAAATGCAAAGAAATTAACAAATCAAAACAAAACAAAAAAAATCATTTCATTGTAAATCAAGACCAAATGGTTGATCATTTGAATCATCGCTTGTGAATGAATCATTGTCATCATCGAAAAAAGAATATTCTTCACCATTACCATAATCATATGACCGAATTAATTCATCATTCTGTTGTTGTTTTAATGGAAATAATTTTACTGCACCCGAAGGTAGCCAACGATTTTGACACTGATTTTGTTTCTGTAATTGATTTTCCAATAAACCAGTCAAACGATTAATTTCGTAACAACGTTCATTAGCAAATTTTTCATTATGATTCTATTTTTAAATTGTTTACAAATAAAAAATTTTACATAACAAATTCAAATAAAAAAATACTTGTCTCAAATACTTACAGTCAAATCATTTGTTGATGAAAATTTATTAAATTGAATTTTCGATTCCGGTAACGTACATAATGAAGAGGATGATGATCGTTTAAATGATAAAACATTCGATTTATTATTATCGTTCGATGTTGTTGTTGATGATGATGATGATTCTAATTGTTGAAAAAATTCAAGTTTTTCACAGAATTTTTCCATTTTTTTAAGAATTTCAATTCAATAAAATCGACCAAAATGATTCAAATTTGAATCAGAAATAATCATGATAATCATATTCATTTAATGGAGAAAAAAAAATTAATCATTTTTTATTTCGACGTTGATGGATGATAAAGCAAAAATAATATTTCAAATGATAAATCAAAATTTAAATTTTTCAAACATTTCAAACATGGAGAAAAAATATAAAATGATAAACTGGAATTTAGTGCAAATGAAATTAAGGCCAAATAATTAACCTCAATTATTGATTCCAATTAAAATTCGGAATGTTAACTGTTACCATTATTTTGGCTATACACAAGAAATTTATATTTAATCAATAATGATGGACGACAATGTTGATGACTATGATCAAATAGATTCATAAAACGTTCCTGATTTTGTGGTGCATGTAGTTGAATATTCTGTGTAATAGTACCACCAATACTATTACTTTCATTAAATAAATCTCTTAATAATAAACGACGTTCACCTAAACAACGATTTGGTTCGAATGGATTAACATCTGTACAACGTATTAAAAGATAATCATCAAAATTATAAAATAATAATTTTGAATCATAATTCCATTCAATACGATATGGACCACGAAATGATGATTGTGTTGTTGCTGTTGTTGTTGATGATGATGATATATTAACATTATTATTCGTTGATGATGATGATGTTGATGAAGATGATGATGATGTTCGTATATTATTCACATTATTTTGCATTCGATTAAATGAATTATTTCGTAAAGAATTTCCTTTTGGACATTGTATTATCGGTGTTTGAAATGTTCCCGTTATATGATCCCAATCATGACCAATCGAAATATGTATTTGAACATCAATTTCAGCTATAAACAAATGTTTTCATAAGAAAAAAGAAAATTAATTAATTAGATCAACTTACGATTAATTGTATAGATTTGTACAGCTTCAACAATTGTTATGAATAAACTACCGATTGGTTTACCAACCGATATAATATTATTACGTTTTAATTTAGATAATATATCTTTATATGTTTGTTGTGCACGATGTATATCATTTAACCATTGTGTACAATCATTATGTGAATGTGAACGTAAATTTAGATAACGTTTTTCTTTGGGTAAATATAGCCGAAATAATGATGGACTTAATTGTTGTTCAAAACCGATTAGATCGGCCAATTGAAATTGATCCAATATCATTGGTTTTCGATATAATGTATAGGTTGTTGAATAGGCACGTTTTGTTTGGAAAAAATTCGTAACATTTCGTAATTTAAGACCACTTTTATCCGGTGTTACTAACATAAAAAAATCATTGAATAAAAATCCTACCAATACACGTGATGATGGACTTTTGATTAGAATACCGACACGTATTAATGTACGTGGTCCAAGAAATTGTGTTTCCGAATTAAAATCAATTGAACGGGGAAATAATTTCGATGTAATTCGTACATGTTGCTGTATCCAATGTAATTTATCAAAATTATCCGTTTTTCTACAGGTTTCATTCAGATCGGAACAAAATTTTTTAGCAAATTCTAATGTTTTTTGACAATCATCAAAATCATCATGATTTTTCGGTGTATATTGAAGAATTTTTTCAATTAATAATGGATATTTTGTTATACGTTGCATCGGTTTAATCAGATAGGAACTTAATGGTAAATGTGATTTTGTTTCAATTGAAATTTGTCGTAAAAGATTTTCAAACGAACGATTTGTTTCGATTAGATTCTGTAATCGTTTAGATGCATTAATTTGATTGGTAAAAAATTTTTGATAATTTGGTTTCATTTGTTCAAGATAATAATGAAATAAATCACAGAAATTAAAATCACGATTCAATGATTCTCGTAAACGTTCACTGAGATCTCTAATGAGATTGAATAAAAATAAAAATAAAAATATTTTTTTTGTTAATCAATTTTACATTGAGAAATCTTACTTGAAAAACAATCGATTAACATCATAAATATCTTCAAGATGATTGAAAATTAATTCAAAATCTTTTGACGATATCAATTGACTTTTTTCAATACGATTCGCATAATTCTATAGTTGTTGTTTTGAAAATAAAATGATAAGTTTTGGTTTACGAAAAAAAAAGAAATATTCAACAATTACCTCAATAACAAAATATAAATCTTTTATATAATCATGTTCAGTGCTGATTAATTCAAATATTAAATTTCTTCTTGTTTCATTAAAATTTTCCATTCGATTATCATTCTTATTATAATTTTTTAATGAAACTGATTTATAATGTTCCATATTATCATTATTATCATCAATTTCATCTGATGTATCATCATCAAATGAATCATCATCCATATTATCATCATTATTATTATTAAATAAATGATTTGGTTGGACTGATATCTGTTGATCATCTTCACTACCACCATCATTATCATTATCATCATCAAATGAATCATCATTATCGTCATTTATGAATTGATCCGGATTCTCCATTGATAATGAATAATGTTCATCTGAGAGAGAGTGAAAAAAAAAGGTAAATCATTAAAGGGAAAGAGTAAAAAAACAGGAAATCAAAACAAAACAAAACAAAAAATGTTCAGAGAGCGAGCAAATTGAAAAAGATTATGAAAAATGATAGAATGAAAAAGAGAGAGAGAGAGAGATAGAGAGAGAAAAACAAACAAACAATTTATTATTATCAATTTCAATTTCTAATAACTTTTTTTTTATAATTAAAATCATTATCATTTTTTTTCTCAAAAATTTGCATGCAAATTCAATTTAAACAGGAAAAACAAATCAATTTATAAAATATTATCTAAAATTCATTTCATTTCATCAAATGAGTGGTTGTTGATGGTGGTGTGTAATATAATAGTAGTGTTTTGTGTTTGGTTTATGCAAATACTATTCATGTTTTTGTTATTGTGTAAAATCGTTCAAATCATTTTGATGATTTCATTTGAAAGCATCATCAAAATTGGCAAAAAATGTATCATTTCCATTTGAAAATCCACCAATATTATTTATGTTGTTGTTGTTGTTATTCGTGATTGTTGTTGTTGTTGTTGTTATCGGTGTTTTATTATTGCCCGTAATTGATAATTTTTCAAATTGTTCATCAAAATAATCAAACGGATGTGTTGTTGTTGTTGTTGATGTTGATGATGATAACTTTGAATGACCATTCGTATTAAAAGCAGCAGCATTAACATTATCCATAACAACATTAACAGGTTCGGCAATAGATTGAGAAATATTGAAAGCTTTTGATAAAGATGAAGTTGTAAAAGTAACGGAATTTGCGGAAATATTATTATCATTTTTGACAGAAGTAATAATAGAATTGAATGGATCAAAAACTATTATTAACGAAAAAAAATGGGTGAAAAAAAACATAAATTATAAGAAAAGGGTTGAAGAAAAAGAAAAAACAAAACATAAAACATAAAACACAAACCACAAAACAAAAAGAACATAGAGAACATAAAATAAGCCGGAATAAATGGAAAAAGCAAACGGACATTTTTTTTTCTTTGGATTAAATTAAAACATTGAACATTGAATAATAATCAGTTATCAGTTACATCATCAGGTTTGTATTAGGTGTTGGATGGATGTCAAAGATGTTTGTTTTTGTTAAACATTAATAATAAAAGTGTGTGCATGTGTGTAAATGAAGAGTAATGAAGATTTTAATTTTTGAAAAACAAACAAACAAACAAACAGTCATATAATCTAGTAAGAATTTCTATCACCCAAACTATTTTTCAGAATAAAGATTCTTGATATGGAAATGTCATTAGTGTGTATATGTGAGAGAGAAAAGTGTGAGTTATTGTTATTGATTATTATTATTATAGAGATTATGAATCGAAGAATATTTTCTCTGTTAAGTAGGAAAGATTTTTTTGATTCAAGGAAAGAGAAAGATTTAAAGAAGAATTAGTGTTAAGGAAAATTATCATTTTTTTTTCTTTGCTAATTATCTATTTGTGTTAAAATTATTATTTTTTTTTGTTTTAAATTAATAGAAAAAATAAAATTAAAAATTAATTCGCTCTCTTTCTTGGAACAAAAAAAAAGAAAAACTTACATGATGATGATGTTATATCACTATTTCCACCACCACCACCACCTCCATCATTATTCGACACCGGTTGTACATGATTGGATGGAAATAAACCAACCGCATTCGTACGTATATTATGACCACGCCACCATGTTGGATCCGTTTTACTTAAAACACGTATTATATCATCTTTTTCAAAACTAATTTCATCATTACGTTGTGCATTGAATGCATATAATGCTTGTACACGTTCTGTATGAATTTTATAAAGATTTAAAAAACAAGAAAAAATTAAATGATTTTAACAGAAAATAACGAAGATAAAATTTACCAATTTCAATTTCATCATTCGGATTTTTAGATGTTTCAGTTGTTGTTGTAGAAACAACAGCAGCAGCAGCAACAGGACTAACGGATGTAGCAACTGTAACACCACCACCACCTGTTCCACCAATAACAACACCACTACCCAATGGTTTAACATATGATGCCGGAAACCAACCAACTTGTTTCTTTTTTCCTTTCGCCTGTAATTCACCTTCCCACCATCCGGTTTGAGTTTTCTTTCGTACCTGTATTAATTGTCCAATTTCTAATGATAATTGTTCTGGACCGGTTGCCGTATATGATGCTACTGCTTGTACAATTTCTTGTTTTTTTGCTTTCGATTTTTTAGTCGGTTTAGGTGAATCGGTTATCGATTCGGATTCTTTACGCTAAAGATTAATAAACAGAAAGTAAAATGTTAGATTTGAAAAAAAAGAGATAAAATTTTACAAAATTTATTTACATCAAGTGATTGATGTTGCTGAACAGTAGCTTTGACCGTTGATGAAGATAAAGTTGAAGCAATAGCAGCAGCAGCAGTATTAGTATCGTTAGCGGAAGCATTAGTCGTATCAGTAGTTTTCTTTTTTTTTGAAATTAATGTTTTATATTTTTAAATTCAAGAGAATAAATAAAATGAAAAACTTACCGGAATTTCAGATGGATCAGCAGGTCCAACAAAATTTGATGGAAATATTCCTCTACGATTTTCATCTTCTTTGCCCGTATTACGATCAATAATAACACCAGTCCACCAATCACCATCTTGTTTTTCTATTTTAATTAATTCATTAACATCGAAACCAAGATCACCCGGTTCGACTGATTCGAATGCAAACAAGCTAACATAATACTGTGATGATGATGATGATGATTGTGATAGATTTTTATCACCAACAACAACAGGATTCGATGATGTTGTTGAAATCTGTACATAACTTTCGGGAAACCAACCAGATCCAATTGTATGGCCATTCGAATCTAAAAGATCACCAAAAAACCATGAATCCTGTTGTTGTGTAATACGAAGATGATCATCTTTTTGGAATGATAGATGACCAGTTTCATTTGATGATAAATCATATAATGCTATTGCTTCACGAATATCTTCAGCATTTTCAGCTTTTGTTAATACAGCCGTTTGTTGTTCATTATTCTTTTTATCATCATTATCTTCATCCAATACGGCATAATCTTTGGGAAACCAACCAATTTTACCATTAATTTCACCGGATAACCATCCTTCTTCGGAACAAGCACTTGTATCAACTATAATCAAATCACCTGGTTTTATTGTAATTTCATCCGAATTTCGGGCCTCAAATTCAAATACACAACGATAACGAAATTTTGTTCGTATTGAATTCGTTGCTGTAGGATTTATTTGATTTTGATTTGACCATTGTTGATTATTATCAACAATTTTTTTATTATCATCATTTTGTTGTGATGGCCATTCAAAATTTGTTGGTACTTCTTGTCCCCATGCAACATCAGTATCGGCAGCATATTTTGATGATGCTTTTCCATCACGAACTTTTTCCGCTTCAATACGTTTATCTTCTAATTGTTGTTGAAATTTCGATGCTTTTCGTCGTTTTTCCTGATACATTTGTTTCAAACGTTCCAATTCTTGTTTACTATTTAGTACATCTTCTTTTTTTATTTTATATTCTTCTTGCATACGTTCTAATTGTGAACGTAATTGATTTATTTGTGATTGTTTTGCCTGTAAAATTGATACAAATGATGTTAATTGTTGTTCAGCATTTATACCATTATTTGTTCCATTTGCAATCAATGATTTTAGCTGTGCTGCCAATCGTACTTTTTCTTGTTCAACAATTAATTGTTTTTCGGTCAATAATTTCATCTGTGATTTTATCTGTGTTTGTTTAGCTAATGTTTGATCACGTTTTATTCGCATACCATCGATTTCGGTTTTTAAACGTACAACACGATCACGTGATGTTTGTGCCAATTTTTTCGATTCATTCAATTGTTTATCAATTTGTTCATGTTCTAATATTAAAACTTTACGTCTGGATTTGAATTTTTGTAATTCTTCCGTTAATCGACTTCGTTGTGTTAATAATTCTGTTCGTCTAGCTTGTTCCAATTCACGTTGTCTTTGTCGTTCCATTTCTTTACGTGCTAATTCACGTACCTCTTGTTGTCGTCGTTTCTGTTCTTCACGTTCTAATTCTTGTTCAAGTAATTTTTGCCGTTGTAATTCTAATTCTTCTTGTCGTCGTCTTTCAGCTTCTAAACGTTCTTTTTCTTTACGTAAATTTTCTTCACGTTCTTTACGTTCACGTTCTTCACGTTGACGACGTTCTTGTTCTTGTAATGCAGCACGACGACGATCCAATTCGGCTTGTCCTTTTTCATAATTTTCACGTCGTTTATCTTCAAAACTACTTTTATTTCCCATACTCAGATCATTATGTTCGGATGATGGATCATCTAATGATGATGTATGTGATAATGTACCACTACCACTACGACGATATGATGGTGGAACAAGATCCGGTGGTAATTTTGCTGGTAATGATTCTTGACGTTTTGCTTTATCAACAAGATACATTGCTAATACAAATTCTTCACATGTTAATCGACCATCAGTATCAACATCGGATAGATTCCATATCTGTGCCAAAATTGTTTGCGGTAATTTTGATTCCAATAATATGTTACGTGCTTGAATACCGGTTAGAAAACCAGTACGTTGACGATCATGTGAATTAAACATTTGTGTATATTTCAATTTTATTGGTTGCGGTATTGACCATTCAGCCATAACTGTTATTGGTGATGTTGATGATTTTGTCATTGTTGATTTCATTTGTTGTACACTATTCGATGGACTCATACCAACTGCTGTTGTTGTTGGTTTCATAACCATTGTTGTCGATGATTGTTGTTGTTGTTGTTGAAGGGAGTTTACAATATTTATCGGCTCAGATGATGAATTAAATGTTGCAAATGGTGGTGGTGGTTCAACCAAAACCTATCATAATTGATTAATAAAATGCTCATAATGACAATCATATCTATAGACAGCAAATAAACAGAAAATAAAATGATGAGAGTTTACAAACCTTTAATGATTGTGGTAAAATTGTTGGCAATTCAACACCCTTTAATTTTAATGCAATCAAATGTAATGCAATCGAAAATTCATTAATATCTAAACGGCCATCGGCATCAACATCGGATAAATTCCATATATGTGCCAATATTTGTGGCGATAATTTTGATTGCAATAAAATTTCACGTGCCTGTTGTCCATTGATAAAATCACCGGTTGGACATAATTTTTTAAATTGTGCTTCATATTTAGCTTTCTGTTCCGGTGATATAATAAATAATGATGATTCGTTTGTTGGTGATTTTAATGTAGTGGTCATATTTTATGGATTATTTTTTTGGTTTCATTAGCTTTTCAAAACAAGGATAAAATGATAGTTGTTTTTTTCGCTTTAAAGGTTTTCAAGGAGAATGATGATTCATTTCAATTTTTTTTTCGTCGTCCTTGTTGTTTAACAATTCGATGACAAGACAGATTCGTTATGATTAAATTGTAATCATCATTGAATAATCTAACAAAATTTTAGAAAAAAAAATTAAATGATTTTACAGAAAAATTGGTTAAAAGAAAAGAAAAGAACTTACCACAATAATTTTCACTAATTTCAAAAAAAAAAAAAATTTTTGACTAGAAATCCAATCTGATTGAAAGGTCTATCTTTTGCGAAGATAGAATCGTGATTCCGAAGACCGAAACAACAAGATAATAAAAAAAAAGAGGACACGTTATATAGATAGCCAGAAAAAAACCAAAAAATTAAATAGGAAATATGCTATATAAAACTTTTTAGCATCATGTAAACATTAACCAAATAATTTCTGGTTTTTTCGTCAACGAAATCCAATTTTTTTTTTTTTTTTTTTTGGTGAGCCAAAATGATCATCATCATCAAATGATATTATGGCCAGCCATCTAGTGTCGGTGTTTGGAAACTTTTTGTTCCTTTTTTTGAACATTCGAATTTTTTTTTTGTTTGTTAACTTCTTCCTTTTTACATCATCGTCATTGCGTTTAAGTAAATTCGAAATTCTTTTGTTTTTTTTTCTTTCAATTTCATTTTTTTTTCTTGTAATTTTTGTTTAAATGATAAATATCGATGGATAATTTTAATGATGAAAATTTTATATCGATTGATCAATCAATCAACAGGATTATCGATGAAGATGAGCAACAATTATTTAGTGATACAGGTTAGTTGTCTGTGTGTGTTAATTTTAATTTTTTAAACGAACAATGATTTTCTTCTTTTTCATTTATCTTGAACTCCATGGATATACAGTTTTACAGATTCATAAAGATATCGAAAATTTATTATCCGATAATATGGATGGTAATGATAATAATGATGATGTTAATCAGAAACAAAAATTAAATGATAATCTTAATGATGATGATGATGATAATAAAAATGATATTTATTCACATAATACGTTACGATGGTTAGATCAATTGATTCAAAATAAATCATCAACATCACGATTAAGTATTTGGAGTAAAGATCCAAATGTTATTGAACATATGAAGAAATTCGAAAATAATAATAATAACAACAACAACCACAATGATAATAATAATAGTGATGACATCAATGAATCTGTTCAGCAGCAACAACATCAACAGCAATTTTCACAACCGATTCTAAACCAAAACCAAATGAACGATAATATTCCTAATCAAATGAATAATAATGATGATGATGATGATCATAAACCACAACAACAACAACAACAGCAACAAGAATCAAATGAACATTTGAATCAATTTAATTTTATTATGAATTGTATGAAATTATCACGATTGGAGAATGATAAACGTATTGATTCAATAAATACTAATCATGGTAGTGGTATTGATCAAAATCAAATTGAATATTCATTCAATGAATATTATCAATATTGTTTGATTGAATTACAACGTTTAGAAAAAGATATTGATTATTCAATAATGAAAAAATCTAATCTAATGAAATCGATTTGTATTGAACAACAACAACAACAACAATCAGTTTATGAACATTGTAATAATCATGACCAAAATCAAAATAAATCATCATCACAATCAAAATGGCCAATATCATCATCATCATCATTGGTAGATGGTCAAATCAATTCAAATCAATTGCATTTATTCATATGGAATCTATTTAATTTATATGAAAAATTATCATCATTTTTTCATAGATTTTCTAATAATACATGTCCATCAACATCAACATCAACATCATCGATAATCAATAATAATCAATTAGATACTAATAATTCATCATCATTGATAATGCAAGTGATTACCGTTTGGTATCAGATTGTTGAAGAGATTAAAGATAATCTTGTTGAACAACAAAATCTAACAACGACAACAACAACAACAGCAAATTATTTTGATCCAATGATAATGATTATGAATAATAACAACAACAATTTATCGATAACCACCGCAACAACAACACTCGAACAGAAAATCAATGAACTAAAACAACAACAGATTTTATTTCTCAAATTATTATGGCAATTTACCCGTCATATTCGATTGATACATTGGATTCAGGATTTTTAGAAAAATTTCAAATAATTATTTTACCTATTTTCATACATTTTTTTTCGCAATTTCCAATGAAAAGAGATTTAATTGTAAACAATTTTTCCTAATTCAATTTTGTTACCCGGTTACGGCATTATTTTTTTTAATTGTTACTGTAAAAAAAATGTTCGATTTCTATTTCGACTGAATGTATCCTGATCATGATGATGATGATGTGCTGATGATAAATGAGCACCATAAAAAAAATTTCTGAAAATAAAATTAATAAAATTACAAATTTTTTTTATTGAATAATAGATATTATCACTAATAATAATGATGATGATACAAATGATCCAAAGATCCATTAGGGTCAAATATAAAGCAAAACGTTATTTAAACGTTGTTTGTGCAATGATAATCAACATCGTAAACAACAACAACAACAACAATTATTGATAATTTGTAAATTCAATTACCTTAGTGTAATAATCATAATTTTTATTTTTAATATTATAATTTATTGAACAAATTACACATAAAAGACAATATAATAATCAACAAATGATGATGATAATAAAATTATTGGCTCTTTTTTTCCATGCAAATTGCAAAAAAAAGAAAAGAAAAATATTACCACCTAAACACAATTAATATTAATTATCATTATTATATGATTTTCTATTCATTTTGGTTTGGAGCATCGAAATATCAACACCATCGTATTCATGGAAAATTTTCGAAAGAACAAAATTTTTTCAATTTTTTTGAAATAATTCTTAAAAAAAATCCGGTTCCATTAAGGATTCACAATAACAACAACAAGTGTGTTCAAGTGTTTGTTGAAAAAACACATACATTTCATCATAATCATTATTCAAATAAATAATGAAGGAAAAATCATCCGCATCATTAGGACAAATCGTAAGTTGGATTCATAGGAATTCGAATTGAATTTGTTTTTTTTTCAGTTAAAAAATTAACAAAACAAATTCATTTTTTTCTGAACAGCTAAAATATGTTAATTGTATAGATTATCTATTGATTATATTTGGAACATTTGGATCATTTCTTTGTTCATTAACATGGCCCGGTTTAACAATTACATTCGGTAAAACGGTTGATATTTTTGTTGATTATGAATATTGGTATCATAATAATCGTACTTGGAATAATATAACCGATACGGAAATTGAAAATAATAAACAATTATTTATGAATGAAGTATGGAAATATTCTGGTTGGACTGGTGTTGTTTGTATAATGTATATTGTCGGTAATTTTATATCGATTTATTCATTTCAAATATTTTCATTACGTATAACACGTAATGTAAAACGTTTATATTTTGAATCAATATTGAAACAAGAAATTGCATGGTTTGATCAACAAAAATCTGGTGAATTTGCATCAACAATATCCAAGTAAAAAAAAATTGATTGATTTTTTGTTTTTGTAAATTTTAATTTTAATTTTATCAATGTTTATCAATTAGTGATTTTAAAAAATTTGAACAAGCATTCAATGAAAATCTTGGTCTTTTAATATATCAATCATTATCAAGTTTTTGTCATCTAATATTAGGATTATATTATGGTTGGAAATTAGCATTAGTTATTATGTCATTATCACCTATTATGATAATTTCATCAATTACAATGACAAAGGTTTGTAAATTGAATTTTGATTGATTGATTTTTATTTTGATTACTGTTTTTTTTATAAAAAAAAACATTACATTAGTTTCAAACATATTTTGCACAAAAAGAATTGAAAGCATATTCAGCAGCAAGTTCAGTTGCTGAAGAAGCAATATCAGCCATACGAACAGTATTTGCATTCGGTGGACAAGAAAAAGAACGTAAACGTTATGAAACAATGTTAAAACCGGGTATGATAAATGCTTGTAAAAGAAATTTTGTTACCGGTTTAGGTATGTCAATACATTGGACAACAATTTATCTTGCATTGGGTTTCGGTATTTGGTATGGTGTACAATTAATTATTAGTCCGGATGATATTTATACGATTGGTGATGTTGTTATCGTATTTTGGGGTGTAACTGGTTGTGCATTTTCAATCGGTTATGCTGCACCATTTTATGAATCATTTCAGATTGGTAAAACATCGGCAAAAAATATATTTGATGTTATTGAACGACGATCAGAAATTGATACATCAAAAAATTTAGTTGGAAAAAAATTAGCTAAAAATTATAAAACAAATATTGAATTTCGTAATGTACGATTTAGTTATCCATCAAGACCGGATGTTCCAATTCTACAAGGTTTAAATTTGAAAATTAATTCGGGTGAAATTGTTGCATTAGTTGGACCATCTGGTTGTGGTAAATCAACAACCATACAACTTGTACAACGTTTTTATGATGTTAAAGATGGTGTTGTTTTGTTAGATGATCATGATATACGTGATTTAAATGTTGGTTGGTTACGTGCACAATTAGGTGTTGTTGGACAGGAACCAGTTTTATTTGATACATCAATTGAAGAAAATATTCGTATGGGTATGCCAATCGATCAAATGAATAAAGTAACTTTAGATGATATTAAACATGCTGCAATTGAAGCAAATGCACATGAATTTATATTAAAATTACCGGATAAATATCAAACATATGTTGGTGATCGTGGTACACAATTATCTGGTGGCCAAAAACAACGTATAGCTATTGCACGTGCATTAATTTCACGACCAAAAATTCTTTTATTGGATGAAGCAACATCAGCATTAGATTTAAAAAGTGAACATATTGTACAGGCAGCATTAGATCGTGCAAGTCAAAATCGTACAACAATTATAATTGCACATCGTTTATCAACAATAATCAATGCTAATCATATATTCTATATTGATAAAGGTGAAGTAATTGAAGAAGGTACACATCAATCATTAATGGAATTAAAAGGAAAATATTATTCACTTGTACAGGCACAACAAGTTACAGATAATAATAATAATAATAATGATCCAACATCACCAAAACTAAAAACAATTGAACAATTTCATAATCAAGAAATTTCATTAACAAGAAAATTAAGTCAAAGATTATCAAGTGAAATATCAATGGGTATGGGTAAAGTAGTAACACCAATGATGATGAATGATAATGAATCAGAAACTGTTAATCAAGATGATTTGAAAAAATTGAAAAAATTTTCTCATATGCGTTTATTTCGTTTAATTTGGTTGGATAAAATATTTTTTATGATTGCATTTATTACCGCATTAATTTATGGTACATCAACACCAATTTATGCATTAATATTTGGTGAATTTGTTGCAATTTTTGCACAAAGTAAAGATAATAATTTTTTAATGGAACAAACATTAAATTATACATATGCATTTATTGGTTTGGCTATCGGTATATTTGTTTGTTGTACAACACAGATTACATTGTTCGGTATTGTTGGTGAAAAATTAACAAATCGTTTACGTAAAATGGCCTATTCAGCTATTTTGGATAAAGAAATTGCATTTTTTGATGATCAAAATAATAGTGCAGGTGCATTATGTTCACGTTTAGGTAATGATGCGGCTAATGTTCAAGGGGTATGTTTTATTTTTTGTTTATTTTTTGTTCGACATTGATTAATTTATTGAATTTATTGAAAAAAATCATATAGGCAACCGGTTTACGTATATCAATGATGTGTCAAGCAATATCAACAGTTATATTTTCAATTGCAATGGGATTTTATTTTAATTGGCGTTTATCATTAGTATCATTAATATTAATGCCAATTGTTGCATTTGCATCAATGATTAGTTCATCAATTTATTCACAACAAGCAACAAAAGATGGTATTACAGCAGAAAAATCAAGTAAAACAGCAATTGAAGTAATGAATTCAATACGTACTGTTGTTTCATTACATAAAGAAGAATATTTTTATAATATTTTTAATCAAACATTGATCGAAAGTTATATGTAAATTTTGTTATTTTTTGTTAATTAATTTCAAATGATTAACACTTTTTTCTCTCTCTCTCTCTTTTTCGTTCACAGAAATTCACGAATGAAATGTTTTTATAAATCGGTAGTTATTTCATTTGCAATGGGTGCACCATTTTTTGCCTATACAGTTAATTTTGCTTATGGTGGTTATCTAATACGTGAAGGTCTACTTGAATCGGGTAATTTTTTCAAGTAAGTTTTGTTTTAGCTCCATTTTTTTCGTTGTCAGTACAAAAAAATTTTTCAAGATTAACAAAAGATGATCATTTCTTTCAAATGGTATTTTTATAATTTATAAAAAAAAAGAATTGCCGAATCAGTTATATTCGGTGCAATGGTTGTTGGACAATCGGCTGTATTATCATCAGATTTTGCTAAAGCAAAATTAGCCGCAATGAATATATTCAATTTGATTGATTCAAATGATTTGAATAATAATAATAATAATAATAACAACAATAATAATCTGAATAAAATAAAAATCGTGAAAAATGGAATACAAACAACAAATCAAGATTTAGTAAAAAATGGAAATTCAATAATGATGAATAATCGATCGAATGGAAATATTACATTTCGTGGTGTATATTTTAGCTATCCATCCCGACCAAATTCCCGAATATTAAATGGTCTTTCATTTAATGCTAATCAAGGACAAACAGTTGCATTAGTTGGTTCAAGTGGTTGTGGTAAATCAACATCCATTCAATTATTAGAACGTTTTTATGATTGTAATAATGGTAGTGTGGTATGTGTTTGTAATGAAAAAAAAACAATGAAATTTTTTATTGAAATTTTTTTTTATTTTAAAATTTAGATTTTAGATGGAAAAAATATCAATGAATTAGATATTGATTGGTTACGATCACAGATATCATTAGTACAACAAGAACCAATATTATTTAGTTATTCAATACGTGATAATATTGCATATGGTGATAATACCCGACAAATAAATGATGATGAAATTTATCGTGCAGCTAAAATGGCTAATGTACATGATTTTATTAATCAATTACCAAATGGTTATCAAACACCTGTTGGTTCAAAAGGTGGTACACAATTATCGGGTGGCCAAAAACAACGTATTGCTATTGCACGTGCATTAATACGTGATCCACCAATACTGTTATTGGATGAAGCAACATCAGCATTGGATACAGCATCCGAACAAATTGTACAACAAGCATTGGATGAAGCATCAAAAGAACGTACTTGTTTAGTTATTGCACATCGTTTGAAAACAATTGTTAATGCAGATAAAATTATTGTTATCGATCGTGGACAAAATGTTGAAGAAGGTACACATGATAAATTGATTGCCCGAAAAGGTTATTATTGGCGTCTTTATAATAATGCTACTGAATAATTAATGAATGTTTAAACTTTTTAACAAACAAAAAAAATTCAAATAACAAATTTTCAATAAAATTCTGGAATAAAATTTTTTTATTTCTTTCAAATAATAATAATAATAATAATAATAATAATAATAGTCATATATATAAGTAATTAATCAATTAATTAAATTAGTTTTTTTTGTTTGTTTTGTTGTTGTGTGTTTGATGAAGCAAAAAAAAAAGATGGGGATGATAGTGAGTGAAAGAGCGAGAGAGAACGAATAATGTCCGGAAATATTATCATCATCATCATTTTATGAATGTTTTTTGTTCAGTTTGTTTTCAATCGGAAAAAAATGGAATATTTTTGTTTTTGTTTTTGTTTTTGTTCGGTGATCCAAATGAGTTGTGTGATGAGATAAATTTTTGTTGTTGTTGTTGTTGTTGCCGTTGTTGTTGATGATGATGACCATAATAAAATTGATGAATAAAAGTAAATAATAATTGAAAATGTTTTTGTTGTGTTTGTTGAATAAAATCAAGGATTGATGAATGAACGAAAAAAAAATTAAAATTGAAAAATTTTTTGATAAAATTATCGAATCATCAAACAGGATGTATAATATTTGATGATGATGAACATAATCGATACAATCGATATTTTTTTTTAAATATAAATAAAATATACATTTTTATATATTCGAATGTGAATATATAGAATATTATAATCGAATGATTTTTAATAATAAATATTTATAATTTTTTTTTAATTTTAAATTGTAAATCGATTTTAACACTGACACTATCTTTTATTATTATTATTATTTGAATGAATGAAGAATAGCTTATTCATTGAAAATCTATCAAAAAAAAAATGAAATGAAATTCAACACCAGCATCATGATTTGAGTTTTTTTCAACAACAACAAAAAAAAAATAATGATAATAAATGAGAATATAAGGTAAAATTTCAAAGAAACCATGATGAAGAAAAAAAATTGACTAAATTGTGTAGGAATGTTTATTATTTGGAATTTTCGGAAAACAAGAAAAGAAAAACAAAAATATTTTCCATGTTATGTAATCATCATCATAAATAACATAATAATGGTGTGTGATGGGTGTTTCAAGTTTGAGCGTTGAATCTTTTTTTTTCAAAATTTTAAAATTGATGATATTTTTTTTCTTTGTAAAATTAAATATTCTTTTGGGAAAAAAAAGATGATCGTTTAAGGAATTTGTAATTACATCGATTATCGAGCAGCAGAGAAAAAAAAAGAAAAAATCTAATAATAATAATATGAAATAATATAACCATAAATTGCCATCATCATAATGTTTGTATAGCTGTGTGTGTGTGGTATTTGATGCAAATTGTTTGTTTGATTAACTGAAATTGTTTGCTTTCGAAGTGATATTATCATCAAAAGATGGTTTATGTGTGTGTGTGTGTGTGTGTGTGTGTGTGTGTTTGTGGAAATTTGAAGAAGCCGAAGAAAAAAAAGTAAACAATAATTTTTTTTTTCGCACATTGACGAAACATTTATATATTTGTCATCAAATACGAATAACCTCGCATTCGAAAATGAAAGGCTAATATCATTGAAAAAGACAGCTGGTGAATCTCTGCAAAAAAAAAACCACTGAAAACTTGGTGTGAGAGAGATCAGGCAATGTGATATCATTGAATTCAGAATTGGCGAAACCCAATTTTTTTCCCGGGCACTATGATGATGATGATATTTGATGGAAGTCAAACGAAAAAAAAATTGGAGAAAAGGAAAAAATTTTTATTCCTTCATATCTTTACATTGAAAATCGATTTTCTTTCTCTCTCACTCTCCTCTCTTTCATTCGTTCATTTTAATCTTTTTTTGATATTTGATCAGGAAAAAAAGCAACAACAAAAAAAATCGAGATGAATTTGGAAAAAAAAGTTTTTTTTTGTGAAAAGTTGTTCCAAGAAAAAAATGCTGAAAATGAATTTTGAAAGATTTCAAAAACAAAAAAAAATTGAAATCATTCGATTCGATCAATCGAGTGAAGAACGAATTTTCGAACGTTTTTTCTTTCGTCTCGAACGAATTCGAATTTTTGTTTGTCATGTGATGGGTGTAATGTTTGTATAATGAACATAAAGTGCAAAAGGGGATGTGTGTGTGTATTTTAATACCAAAATTGATCATTTTTTTTTGATCATTATTCAATCAATCACAAATCAATCAATTATAGAATTTTTTTTCTCTATTAATCAAATAATTTTTTGAGCAACCAACAAACAGACAAACGAACAAACAGACAGACAGACAACAAAAGGAAATTGTAAGGATTTTTTTTGTTTTGCTTTCAAAATGAATGAATTAATGATGAAGATCAATAAGTGTGTGAACAAGAAGAACTTAAACAAAGAATCAATGAATTTGATGAATTCTTTGAGAAAGAAAAATGAAATGAAGCAAGTAAGACATTCAAATGATGATGATGACCAAAGAAAAAAAAAGAATTTTTTTTGTTGAAAAAAAAAGTTGAGCATCAAGAAATAATCGATGGTGATGATGATGAAAAGATCGATATATCGATCGAACATTTTAAAAGCGGATGACATTTTTTTCCTGTTTTCTTTCTTTCTCTTTGTGTGGGTTTGTGTTTTGTTAAAAATTTTAGAATCGGAATTTTGTTTTGTTTGAAAACATTGTCAATGATGATGATGATACGATGATACGAAGAAAAAAAGATGCCGAAGATAAAACAAGAAAAAAAACATTATCCTTTTTTTTCAATTAAAAAGGAGATAAACATAAATTGTATTTTTGATGATGATTCTTTCAATCATTCATCAAAAATGGCCAATCGGTGATATTTATTTATTGTGATAAATGATGATGATGATGATGATAAAGAATTTTTGAGCAAATAATTTTTTTGGTTCCACTTTCTGGTTGTTGTTGTTGTTGTTGAGTGATGAAACAAATGAGTTGTAAATGGTGGCAAAAAAAAAAATAATACTGTATATTCAAACAAACAAACAAACACAGAATCAATGAGATGTTGTTGAGCTTGAATCTTGTCTTCTTGTTGTTGTTGTTGTTGCTGATGTTAATAATTGATCTTTATTCGATTGTTGTTGTCGTTGATGATGTCCTAATGCAATCTCTTTACCACATAGACCACAAGGCACTTTATGATGATGATGATGATGTTGATGTTGTTGTTGTTGTTGATCATCATTTCGTTGAACATTTGATTTCATCATTAACATTGCTTTCGATGTTGTTGTTGATGGTCGATTTTTACTCGAATCGGTTGATGATTTATTTTTTGATTGTTGTTGTTGTTTATATTTTGATCCAATCGATGTTGATGATAATGATACATTCACGGTAACATTCATACGACGTACATCTTCACGTATTATTTGCCGTATGACACGTAAAAATTCATTACGTTCTTCGCTGGTTCTGGTTTTTCAAAGAAAAAAAAAGGAAGGAACAAAAGAAATTTGAGAAATTTTCCAAGAAAAACAACAACAATTCAAAAGAAAATTTCCAAGCAAAATAAATCCTTTTCTACTTACTTATTACTCAGACGATAAATCTTTTCCGAACGTTTACCGGCATTCATTTTTAATTGTATTAATTCCCATTTAAAATCGGTTTCATTATTTGATGTTGTTGAATCATTTTGTGGACATGCACGTACTTGTACTTCAATAACAGGTATTAATACCTGATGACGAATAATTTCAACATCAATCGATTTGGCTGTTGGCATTCGTTTTCGTTGTCGTATAGTTTCTTTGCATAGAAATACAACACATTGACTGAAAACAAAACAAATTGAACTCCATTCAACACCTTTACGACAATTTTTGCCCAAAAATTCCATTGAATTTATCCAATCAACATTTCCATACTGTTTGTTTGTTTGTTTGTTAGGGATATGGCATGGCGATTATGATTTTTGAATAAAAAGCAAACAAGCAAAGCAAATTATAAAGCATTAATTTTTTTTCCAAAAAAAAGGGTTAACAATAACAAACAACGAGAAATGAGAATAAAACACTTACATGTTTTAATGCCGGTGGTGATAAATCAACAATATTCTGTCCTAATAATGTTTGTTGATTACCACTGGTTTGATGACTACCTAATGGTCCATTTATACCAGATAAACGTTGATGATTACGTGCTAAATGTTCAAAAATTGCACCATATTCTTCTTGTAAACGTTGCATTTCATTTATATGTTCGGCAACTTTGTTTTTATTTTTTTGAATAAAAAAAAAATTACAACAAATTAAATCAAATTTTTAAAAAAGAATGATGTCGGTATGTATGGTCATTGGATATATTTACCTTTTTCTAAATCTTTAATTGCATCTTCTAATTTACAATAATTTGTTGTACCTTTTGAACATAATGTTTTCATTTGTCCTAATAATAATGGATATTTTAAAACACGTTGTATTGGTCGTATTAGATATGATTCTAATGATTGTGATATTTGTCCATTTGATTGTTTCTGTAACCATTCATGTACGGCTGTTTTTTCTTGTGCCATTAATTTAACTGCACGTGCATGTGAGGCACAAAATGTCTGCAATAAATTTAATTTTAGGGAAAAAAATGATAGAAAAAAAATCAAGAATTTCAAAAAACGAAAAAAACTCTTACCGAATAATCACGAAAATTTTTTGAATGTTTAGCAAAACAATCGGCAATATAACCAACACCAAGATCATTAACTGTTGGTTGTTCTTGTTCATTATTATTAATTGTAAATTTTATTTGACATTTTTTCAATAATAATTCACAATCACCTAAAATATGTTCACCAACTTCTTGTAATTCTGAACGAAATTCATTCTGTGCATCAATCACTTTTAATATTGAACCAAATAATACTTTTATATCGGTTATTGTTAAAAAATTATTTTTTGATAATGGTTCTAAATATAAATCAACTAATTGTTTTAATGAATGACAAAAACTATTTTCCGTATCCAATAATTCTTTAATTAATTTTTCCATATGTTTTAAACTATTTATATTTGATGATGATGATGATGTTGTTGATGATAATAATTGTGTTGATGATAATGGTGGTGGTGGTAATGGAAGTTGTAATGATTGTTGTTGTTGTTGAACAATATTTTGTTGTTCATGACATTGATTTAATGCCATTTGTATTGCTTCACTTAATGGTGGACCAGTATCAGTTGATAATAATTGACAATCAATATCTTCAATTGTAATTTGTTGTTGTTGTTGTTGTTGTTGTTCATCACTTGTTTGTTGTTGTTGTAATAATTGTTGAAGATGATGATTGTCTTGTGTTGTTGTTGTTGTTGTTATATAACGATCATCATCACCTTGATGATGATGATCATTATAATTTTCTGTCATTAATAATGATGATAATCCATCTTGATTTGATTGTTGTTGTTGTTGTTGATGAATTACATTCATTGATGTTAAATTTTCAGATGTTGGTAGAAAATGATCAACTTTTGGTACAATATATTTGGATAATTGTATATCGGATAATATTAGCTGTGAAAAATCAGTACTTGGTGGTGGTGGACAAACTAATGATTCAATTAGATCATCAGTAACTGATGGTGATGTTTTTTCATTTGTATCAAAACTTGTTCCACCAATTATATTTGTAGTTAATGCATTACCACCACCAGGATGTGCTAATAATAATTGTTGTTGTTGTTGTTGTTGATTAATAATTGTTGTTGATGTTTTAACACCTGAATCAATTGATAATGATGATTGATTTGGTACTTTTAATATTGCCTGTCCTTGTGTAGGAACATCTAAACGTGATGATCTAGATTTTGTTTTGTTTTAAATTTTGTTAGTTAAAAATGAAAATTCAAATGAATCCATTTATTTACCTGATCATAAGACAAAGTGTAAGCTCTTCCTGTAGTATTGATTCAACAAACATCATATCCAATTCTTGTACTAATGCACCATTAATAACCATTATTTCATCATGACGACAAAGACCATGCATTGCTGCAATTGAATTTCTAAAATTTTATCATTTTACAGAAAAAAAGAGTGAGAAAAACATTCAATTTCTTCAAAAATATATTCAATATATGATCAATGAAAACATACGGTTCAACACGCATAACAAATACACGTAAAATATGTTGTAATAATTCTGATTCGACTGAAAAACCAAATAACATTTCATTTGATTCACGAACCAAATCGATTGTAAATAAAAGCTATTTCAAATGAATGAATTTATCAATCAATGAAAACAAACAAAAAAATCAAAATCATCAACAACAAACAAACCTTTGGCGTTATAATTAATGTATGATTATTATAATTAACAACAAGATCATTACGATATAATATTGTACCAGTTTCTGAACAACGTAAAAAATATTCACGTGATTCTTGACTATGATCAAATATTTCTGATAATAATTGTTCACTAGTCCATGTTTGTGGTATATCCATTTGTCGTTGTTCCCCAGTCATTAATAATATTGTTAATTGTACACGTAATATTGGTGTTATATTTCCTGTTGTTATCTGTTGTGATTGTTGTTGACTATCAATCGAATGATGATGAGGTGAATAAAGTTCACGATGTAATACAATAGCTGAATCATTTGATGGAATTATTGGTGAAACAGAACCACGACCTCCAACACCACCACCACCACCACCACCACTGCTACTTGTACCACCAAATGAATTTTGTCGATGTAATGATTTTTCAACTGTTTGTGGATTTTTGGCACAATTAAATGCTTTCATATGAAAATAAACGGAATAAATTAGGACTTTTTATTCAAGAAATTCAATCAATCAATCTCTTACCATGAAGTGATGAAACAGTAAATACACCAATACGATTTAATTGAGCTTTTGTACGTCTTGATGCTTGTGATAATAATGTTTTTGGATTTGGTCCTTCATCATTGGTTAGGCTATATAGATTAGATTGTTGAATCAATAAATTAATGAAATTATTATTGATTTTTTCTTCTTTTAATACTTACGCAGCAAAATATGATTTTAAACGAAATATTTCAATACGATTACGTTCAATTTTTTCATCCAACAAAAATATATGATTAATAAGCTGTTGTTTTTGTTTATCATCCTGACAACATGATAATAATAATTCTGCTTCTTGTCGTTGTTGATAATCTTGTTCAAAAATTTGTTCAATACGTTGATATTGTTCAACAAGATAATGTGATATTGTACAACGTCCAGAATTTCTAGCAATTTGTGCTGCACAAGCTGTATGTATTACCTGTATCCATTGATCACGTTCAGGTAATGAGGTAGCATCAAATAGATAGGCATCACCGAATGAAGTTGAAAGACAGAATACATTGTCACGACGTGGATGTTCCGGTACCGGTTGTACTAAACATTCATCAACAAATATTAAATGTTTTGGTGTTAATTCACTTGTACTTGATTGACCACTTTTTGGTTGTTGTTGTTGTTGTTGTCCAATTGAATCAATATTTTGCGTGGATGAATTTTGTATCATATTTGCATCACAACTATAAAATAATAATGTTGTTCCTTTTAAACAAACCCAATAACCTTTCCAACCACGTTTACGTGCCAATTCTAAACTATGTCGTTTACGTATAAGCCATTTTTTAACGGATAAAAAACCCGATTTTCGTACCGAACCAAGACATTCAAATGAAATGGCAGCTGTTGTTGATGAATGTTTTGATTGACGATGATTTATTTGTGATTTAGGTGTTGATGGTTGATGATGATTAATTAGATAACGATCATTACCGGTAACAGTAGCAGCAGTATTAGTAGCAATAATATCTTCATCATCTGAAATAGCTGTTGTTAATGATGCACGATCATCATCAGATATTTCTGATGATGTTAAATAACCGGCAGCAATACGATCCCATGATTGGTATGTATTTTGTTGTTGTGGATGTTGTTGTTGTTGATGATGATGATAAGCAGATGATGCTTGTGCTAATGAGCTAGCGAATGAAGGCAAAAATGGTAATTGACCATCGATTGACATTGTATCAAATTGTGGTATTGGTGAACGAACACCACCACCACCACCACTAGCATATAATGAACCTGGTCCATAAAGATTAGCTGCCGATGCAATACGATGTAATGATTGTGTTGATTGTGATTGATAACGTTTCTCTTCTGCTCGTATCAATGTTAATTCATGTTGTACTTCACGCATTAAATTGGCAACATCATCCATTGATTCTTTCAATAATGTTTCAAATGTTTCCAAGGCATCATTATTATTAACACTAGTACTACCACCACCACCACCACCGGATGAATCTCCACCATGTAATAATCGACGTCGTAATTCACGTTCATATTCTTCTAATTGAGCAGCTGAAGGCCGATGATAATCGATTAAATCACGATTATTATCTCGAATTGGTATTGTTGGTGATGAATCAGTTAAATCAACACATTGCATACGTTCTAATGAACGACGACGTCCTTCTAATGATCGATGTGTACGATCACGACGTGTTTCTTCCGTACCACCACCACCACCACCACTACTACTACCGGTTACTAATGATTTTGGCCGTGTTGATGAACGTTTTTGTTGCGAAATATTTGCACCAGTTCCTGTTGTTGCGATTGTTTCTAAATCATCTGTTGTTGTTGCAGTCGATACTAATTGTTGTGTTTGTGTTTGAGCTTGTGATTGTGGACGACTTGATGGCTGCTGTTGTTGTTGTTGTTGATCCTGGATAATTTGTTGTTGTTGTTGATCTTGTTGTTTACCGCCACTACTATGAACTATTGCTTTTTGATGTTGTATCTGAATATAGCTACCACCAACACCATTCTGTACGGAAGTTGGATAATTATCTGATGATTGATGACCACCACCACCACCACTACTACTACCGGTCATTTGAATACGTTGCGTTGGTGGCTGATTACTTTGAATTGGTTGTATACGACTATGACGATGTGATGGTCCCAATGTACGAGATTGTTGTTGTTGTTGTTGTGATTGACTTGCCGGTGTTGTTGAAACACGATTTCTATAATGTTCATCCATTGAACGTTGATGTGCACTACTGTTAAATGAAATTACCATGTGTTTAATTTCTTATTTATAAACTAAATAATAATTACCGATAATATTGTTGTTGTCGTTCATGTTGACGTCTAATTAATGAACCATCCGATCTAGATGATTGTGTTGTACCACCACTATCTTGACGAGTAAAATTTGCATAACGTATACGGCCATTTCTTTGTTTATGTAACATTTCTGCTGTTAAACAATCACATGTACATTGCGGTGGTTGTTGTTGACCATAAGCTTGTTGTTGTTGTTGTTGTAATTGTTCAATTTGTTGATGTTGTTGTTGTTGTTGTTGCTGTAATCGTCGTTTTGATGGTGAATTTGGTGTCGATAATGCCGTACGATTTGAATAATATTTTGTTGTTAAATGTGCACCCGAACCAGCTTTACTTTGACGTCCATGTGATTGTTGCTGTTGTTGAGGTTGTTGATGTGTAGAATCATCTTGATTTATAATAGCATTTGCAACTGCACGTAAACTATATGAAGATTCAGTACGTTTTGGTCCATGTGAACTGGTTGTTGTTGTTTGTAATTGTATTGTACCGGATTGTATACATTCACGAAATGCACGTGCATCAGCTGGTGATGTAAAATTTAAACCCCATGTATCACCGGAAACCTTTTTGAATTGGAAAAATTCAAAAAAAAAAAAATATTCAAAATTCAAACAAAATTCTAATTGTTGTTCAAGTTTTTTTTTATCATACATTATCTTTCCAATAAATAAAACATGATGATGCTTGTCCTAATTTATTTGATTGTAACCAACAATCTAATACTTTTTCAACACGTGAATTAAATGCAGTGATATGATAACGTCCATTTATAAATGATACTGTAACTGGTACTAAATCATCGCTAACTTGATTCCAACGTACAGCACCTGATGATGCTGATACATGAAATACTTCAGCCCATAATCTTAGAATATGATTTGAACGACCGGCAGTTAATATATTTGAAATTGGTGCACCACCACCACCACCACCACCACTTCCAGTTCCGATAATTACATTACCACCAACAACACTACCACCACCACCACTTTGATGATAATGATGTTGATATTGTTGTTGTTGTGAACGAGCCACGTTTGAACCAATTGTTGTTCCAGCAGCTATCGCTGATGTTGTTGATGATAATACACCCGTATTACTTGATGTTTGATGATGATGTTGATGTTGATGTCCTGCTACATGTGCTGATGATGGTTTGCCATTACAATTGGCGCATCTTTAATTTTATTTTCGAAAAAATTTGTTAAGATTTTTAAATTTTTTAAAAATCAGAACTTACGATATCTTATTACCCATTTGGGCATATGGATAGCAATTAGCGCTTTGCGCAATCACTCTTTTTTTGTTTTGTTTTCGTTGATTAATTTTTGGTTTAATTTAATTTAATTATTTTTACGTTTTAGATTTGTTGTTGTTGTTTTATTGAATATTAACCACACACACACACACACACACATCACAATTACCGAATTATTCGGTTAATATTCACAATGAAGAATTTTTTGCACTTTCGAAGAAATCATTTGGAACTCGAAAAAATAAAACGAAAAATTCACACACATTTACACATCAACAAACAATCAAACCAAAGAAGAACATTTGACATTTTCTTGGAAAACATTTTTTTTCAATTATTGGCATCAATTTTTTTTTGTTTGCAAAAAAATTATTTGAAAAATGATAGGAAAGGAAAAATCAGTTTTTTTCTTCAGTAAAAATTCACTTTTTACATTTTGTAAATTTTTTTGATTCAACACCAAAACAAAAACAAAAACAAATTACAAAATGAGAATTCAGAAGGAAGAATAGAAGGATCAAGAATCGCAAAAAAGCGAGAGAGAATTGTGTTGAAAAAAAGATACTAACCGAAGAAAAAGAAAATATTATTATTCATTTCTCATCATATTTATTTCTTCATATTTTTTTCAATATTATCCTCTATAGAGGAAGAAGAATAAAGAAAAATTATGATGATGATGATGATGATGATCCAGAAAAGCTATGGAGAAAAAAAAATAACCGAAGAAATCATCATCATCATCATTCGAATGTCCGAATGTGTGTTTCATCCGTCGTCTTTTAGTGATGATGATTATTATTATTTCTCTATAGTGGTGGTGGTGGGGATGGTGGTGATGCTGATGGTAGTGGTTGAAGATATTAGCTGTTTTTTTTTGTTGAAACGGTAGTTCCTTTGGATTCCAACAAGATGCTAGAATTTTTTTTTTTTGTAATTTTCAACTTTGGTTATTAGTTACTACTTTTCAATGCTTCTACTACTATAACAAAATTCTTATCATCATCATCATCTATGAAATTGGATTCAAAGGATGTTCATTTTTTTTTCTTCACTCTCACTCTCTTGAAACACTTGATTCTGGAACAACAACAACAAAAACAAACAAATAAAATTCATTGAAGTGATGTGATGTGATGTGTGTGTGTTTGTATTAAATCACAGATGATGCGGCAAAGCATTATTCTCTGTATTCTGTATTCTGTGTGTGTGTGTGTCATAATACATTCACATCCATAACAACAACAACAAACGTGGATAAATCGAAAAAAGAAGAAGAAGAGGTAAAAGAATCAAAAAATGTAAAATTCTATAGTGAACCAATGAAAAAAAAACTAGTAAAGAATTCAAGAATAAAGTAGTAGTAGTAGTAGTAGTAGAGAGCGCATCACTAGAACTGATGATGATGATGCTCATTGTACTTATTTTCTAGGGGGATCGACGAAGAATAGTGACAACAACAACAACAACAACAAATAAGCATCTTGAAATTAGGGCTCAATATCCGTATCATTTTCATTTTCATTCATACAATTTTTTTTCGCCATCATCATCATCATCATCATTGATGCTATATACACACTATGATGATGATGTCAGTATCCAGAGTGACCAGAAATCAAATTCCCAAATATTAAAAAAAACACTTTATACAAAATATAAATCATTATTTTTATTGAATAATTTATTTTATTTTGATGGCTAGAATCAAAAAAAAAAACAAAGAATTTTTTTGTCTTAACCCTCAATATGATCATCATTGGACGAAAAATGATTTTCAATTTGGTCAATGATGATGATTTGACATTAAAGTTGCTATTAACGACATTTTTCCAGTTATTCCGTTTGTGTGTGTGGGTGGATGTTGCTGTTTTTTTTTAAATATTTTATATTTCGTAAATTTTTTCTGATTGAAGAAAAATAAAAAAATTCAGAATGAATGAATCCAGAATGGTGATTCTACTCGAAAAGAATTTCAAAGATTTTTTTCATTTTTTTTCGGAATAAAAAACTAAGGATGTTACTATATATATGAAAAGGACATTATCTGGAATAACCACTACCGTTTTTTTTTGTCTATCCAGACAACCATTCAGGTTCATGGCCTTAAGATGTGTGTTTTGTGGGTGGATGGATGGATGGATGTTTTTTTTATACTCTGTTTTTGACGCATCCTCATCCGATTTCAAAAAAAAAAAAAAAAAAATATTCTTCGGGGGAATGGCGAACCAGAAATATTTTTTTTGCCGCATCATGGCAAATTTTCCTCTTCTTCTT